CTGTCAAAATGGAATGGCTTTGAACAGGTGTTAATTGAGTTAATCCAATCAAATCCAACAGCCAATCAGCAAGAAGAAAAGATTAGGCTGCGTCAGGTTCATGCTTGCATGCCCATATATGGGCATGCCGCCGAATTTCTTTCTTATTACGTCACGCGCGTACGCCCCCGCACAGTACTTTCCTATGGGGACCGCTAAAAAAGCAAATAAAACGATTGTAAAAGCTTGTATCACAAAAATTTAAAAAACGCCTAGGGGTATTTGCCCACTGTACCTCCATACCAAATTTCAGGACCTTAGGCCCTAAAATGAAGAAGCTGAATCCATTTAAAGAAATGGCAGGAGAAGGAGAAACATCAGAAAAAGCAATATGGGTTCACCACCACTTCGTGGTGTGGTGAACCCATAATTATTAGCCTTCGGGCAGGAGTTGCAAATAGAGATGATTATTAGATAAATAGACCACATCCCGTCCCCTTCCATCTTCTTTTGTTAAATATACAAGTGTTGCAGGTAGTAACACATTTGACTCACATCCAGGCACTGAAAACCAGTTGGCGCCATTTTTGATTCCTCCGTTGCAGGTAGTGTTGAGGTTGTCACATGTCACCCGGGCCCCGCACCTCGCCATGTCGGGGTGTGCCCTGGCGTACGTCCCCGCTAGGTGGCGGTACAACTCATCGTCTGTAAAAATACCACATGCTCATATGTTAGGGAAAACTGATTCATATACATGGAAATTTTCTGATCATAAAACATGAATTCCTCACTGATTTTGTGCATATTCTATTGTCACTGCCTCACAGCCTGCGGTGTGACAATTTTAACCTTCTGTTCGACCTTCCTGTCAGTCTGCGGTTACACTTCTTGTACTTCTGCTGTATTCAAATACATGTACCTAACTACAGACACACAAGCAAACAAACAGACAAAATCCCGGGGTACAAAAACCGTACATCGAAGTGAAAAGCAGTTCGTAACGGATATGTATTAACTAAGTGAAAACACATCCTGAATGGCCCCAGTCTATCGTGATGAACGAAATGTGAAAGAACCGACCTGCCGTTGCGGAGTACGAGGAGAGATCAGCCGGGTTCTGTCCCAGGTCGAACGGGTACACCGCCACGAGGCTGCCCCCGTGCAGATTGGCGCCCAGCACGAAGGGGTAAGACTCCGCCCATTTCAGGAAGGCCATCGTTTCGTTTGCAACCTACACGGAAAGTAAGAATATTTGCATATCACTTCAACCGAACCACCGAAGTCTCAAAGATATTTCAGTGAAATTTCACGTTTCATGAGACATGGCTTGTGATCCCGCCAGCGTTTATATTTTAGTAAGCAAATATTTCATCTTAATAAAAATCGTTAAAACTAATTAATTAGCGGGCTCTCAACTTTGAGCGACAGCGGTGATGATATGGACAAACATGATTACCTTTCGTAACCAATATGATTCAGGTATCCTGAGGTGGTTGTTCTGCACCTTGTGGTTGTTATTTCTGTTGGTGAAAAGAACGTTCCCCAACACGGGGAAGTCCCTGTACAGGTTCACCCCTCGGGTGTTGTACCGTCCGTAGTCTCCGTGCGCAGAACTGGTCCTGTAGCTCTGGTGACCCTGAGGAGAGTAGAACAAGGCGTGTCAGGGGGAAGTTGACATTATCATCTCATCTATCCCTTGGTCTAATCATTTGTTGGTACACCACAGTATTTAAGTCACATTTCCAAATGGGGAAAGGTTTTTGAAATATCAGAGTTGTCTTTTAGTTGCCTTTCCGGAATCTTAGAATATGTTGAAATATTGACCGCCTTTAACAAATCTTTGCCTAGTTCGTAAAGTTAGCTTAAATATCTATTTTCGTGCTATGTGTGTCTTGATCCACTGTACTGTAGATGTTTACTAACCAATTGAGCCGCCATCTCGAATCCATCCGGGTTAAGGGAAGGTATGAGGTGAATCCTAGTCCCGTCTACAAGCCCAGTGACGCGGGAGTCTCCAGCCCGGTACCGGGAGCACAGGTGGTCTGCCAGGTTCAGCAGGAGTTCCCGCCCCGCCGCCTCGTTCCCATGCATGTTTCCTATGTATCGGAACTCCGGTTCACCTGCGGCAAAAATACAAAACATTCCATCACAACATGCTTTAATACATTAGTTAAAATCTATGTCAGCTCTCACTCAGCATTAGCAGCCAGACTGCCTAGACAGAACGCTGGCAGAGTTTTGCGCTAAGGAAAGAATTAACTTCACATTTAAATCGCTGTCTGTCCCTGATCGATCTTGGCGATCTCCCTCGGAATACTGTTCCAAAGTTTAACAACCAACAGAACTGTATCCATAGTGCATCACAAGGAAGGTAAAGTTTCTCTATATACAAGTAGCGGTGACTGTATTTGCAGAACATTTATGACAACGTCTTTTAATTGACAAGAAATGCAGTTGAAGCTGATTACCTCTCGTCAAAGAACACTAGCCAACGTCCCAAAGCAAGACTATCAAAGAGTAAAACTCGTATGTGGTGTAAATAAATATTCATGATTGGAATGTTTTGTTTGTTACCTGTTCACATTCTCATCACCGTAAAAGAGGCTACTGTGTTCACAACACCAATCTACGTCTCTCTGTGAAGCATAGGTCATGCCGCCGATCTTGTGCCCTTGGGAAAGGCACTTAATACGACTTCCTCACTTCACTCAAGTAAAAATGAGTATTGTCTTGTCTTGTCATGTATTCGTACTCTGCGTTGGTGGCGGCATAAAATTAGTTGATATAACTTGAGTGTGCCATCAGCATGTCTAGTCATAAAATGTTGGAATAAAAAGCATAGGTCTGTAAAAACAGAGCACGCGTTTATTTTTTTCTTGCCCCACCTGGTTCGTGCCGGCCAGGGTTGTCGCTGACCTCCAGGACCCACAGTTCCCTTCCCTCCTCGCTGGTGCCGATACTGTACAGCCGAGTGACGTCAGGACAGGCGTCCGCCACAGCTCGTAACGCCGACTCCATTTCTGCCGTGTTGTGGTACCGTCCTGTCTCCACACCGACTGATGCACTGCACCACAGCAGGAGCGCAAGTAGAGTAACACCGACCCTCATCTGTACAACATATCAACCGAAATACTTTATAGTGTGAAGTACTATTCTGGGTTTCCGCGAATTTAAAGGAAATACCAAGAAGCTTGTATGACAAGGACAGACACTGTGCAAAGTTTCTCCCACGGCAGGTGTCACGGTATCGCGTTAGAACTTGTATCGGTATATGTCTATAGTAAAGGTGCACAGTGGACAGGGGTGACTCGACAGGCCAGGCACCTGGCATCCCACAAATACGCTCGAGCCATTCATAACACCCAAGGACCATGAAAGGGTGCCATGTATGAGCGGAGTTACGGTGTGTGCATGTCCATTCGGTGACACTCTGCAGAGTATACAATATCAATAACACGGTCACCATGTATGCAGACAGACCCCCATACAGTTTTACAGATGTTTCACGAAAAATTACAGAAAATATTCCTAGCAATAACAAATCACGTCAATATAAGCCCTTAGATCCAGGAGATTTTGTTGTTACTACACAGCAAAAGAATCGCGATGTCCGAACAAGTTAGCCAAGCCGCATAGTCTTTGCCCAGTGACCTGGCAAGTTTTAACGCGCACTGTATTTAAAGACGAGATACCAACGACCGACCACAGAATACGCATAGACAGAAACACTTGGTCTTTACTATAATAGTAGCGATCCCTACAGGATGATGCAATAGAATTTCAGGGAACTTGGCAGATGATGCAATACAGATTCCTGATACGGATATGCTATGAACATGACTATTAAAGAAAAACAAAACCCTGATCCTCATTTACTTTTAATGACATTAATAACATACTATCAAACAGTATTAAAACATAACGTAACATATCAAAATGTAACATAGTTACAGCAGGTATTGGAGAAAGCTTAAGAATACAGATTTATGGTGTAAAACCAATAGTTATAACAGTATATAATATATAATAATAGAACATTTGTATGTGGGGATGATTGTCTTGACAGGATGACATACTATTTTGACATCAACCTCCCATGATAATGTTCAATTGAAAAAGAGCGAGAAAGACAATTGCAAGTCACGATAACAAACATCGTCACGAAAAGTCAACAAGTACAACCCAGCACCGATAGAGTCCCTATTTGTTAAGCCTATCTCGAGCTCCAATTTCAGTGCACGAAAAGTATACGTGTTTCTCATGAGTGAATTTCGATCCTTTTTACGACGCTTTCGTGTCAGAAGTTCCGTTAATTTGGCTAAAATACGTATGGCAGAACATGTAGTTAGACGGACAAGAATGTACGTAGGCCACAGGAATGTGACTAAACACTTTAAATGGGGTATGGGTGGGAACAGAAGCAACCCTGTCTTCCGCGTCAAGTATGATAAGTTTAAATCACCGCCATATAGCCTATTAGAAAGTTGGATCAAGGACATACATAATATCATGTACAGTCACACTAACTTACCTTTACAACCGTGTCTTCTTTTGATACAGGCACTTACAGTCACTCACTGTCAGGTGCGTCAGTGTGTATCCAAGTCGGCAAACAGTAGTAGTGTACCTGTCACCACGTGCGCAGTGACTCCCGGGCATAGACGCGGTAGTGCTCGGGTTGCATCACCTTGGAGTATACCACACTTTTTGGTATACAACTATCCATTATATGACAAAAAAATCTTTTCAGACTATGTCACTTCGGACTTAACTTCGGACTTAATAGTTTTGCAAGTGTTACATCTGCTTGATGCATATTAAGTGCGAGATAGACTGGTGTAAAGACGATACAAGGGTCTAATCGGGCGGTTTCCACCCCGAACACCTGTTGAGTTGGCCTAGCCCATTGAAAGCCTTTGTTGTTGTTTTTTACGCTTCGGTGAAACCTTATAATGTATATCGGCACCGATTCGAAAAGCCAATGTATTTGTGTAAGAGGAGGGTGGTATAACTTATGTACTACAAGCGTTTAATTTCAACATTTCGTCGTATGTGATACTTCCTAAAGTTCCAGTACAGTATGGCTAGTATTTAAAGTGTTGTGTACTTATGTGTATTGGTTGATCCAAATTTGGGTCACCAACGCTCCTTCCACGCGGAGATCACGAAGGCTTCACGTGATAGTCTAGGGTGAATGACCTTGACTTGCATGTGTGCTCGAGTGACGTATGTCTGAGTGAGCGCGCATGACAGAAGGTCTTCGGTATACAGGACGCTGACCCTAACTGCCAGTATGTAATAGATGTTATTTTCAAAGGACTAGTAGTTGCTGGCCAGAAAAGTAAAAAGGCATGGACTGTAGAGAATGTAAAACAAAGGGCCTTTTGTTACATTTCATCTGTACTTAGAAGTCGTTCCTAGGCATCAATGAATTGTATCCCAACTATATACTTGAAGATACTCTTAAGTTTGCGGATACAACGAGCTATATTTAGCATTTAAGGATAAATGTGCGATTAACATTTGACAATATCTCACTAGTGTTGTTCTCTCAATAGTACGTCACTTAACATATATACAATGTACTGTACAAATGGATTCTGTACTCGACTCATATATCCTATCAAGGCTATCTTGTGTTCTCACTCTGTCTCTTCAGGCTGGAAACGTGCATGAGCTTATCCGGGTCTCGATAGGATGTACGCTTTGTTTAATGACCTCGCTCCACATCATCTATGTTCACGGACCCAATGAGGAACTAGTTGTTGAGGTGGTGATATAGACATACAGTATCAGAGCCATGCAACGAATGCAAAAGACATCATTTTATTTTGCTACAAGCACTGAGCAGTCTTCAAATATGACTTCAAGGCTGTTTGGAAGTTTGATGTATGTTACATGTATTCATATTTATATTTGCTTTCGCCTTAGTGTACAATTCCTTGTGGTTCTAACAAAAGATACCGCTTCAGACGGTCAGGGATAGAGAGACCAGTACTGTTGAAGACTCTGTAACACCTGGGACCCAAAAACTTTCGGAGGGAGAAACGGGCTAGGTGCATGAGGGACCGAGGAGAGAGCGCCATCTTGAAGAGCCAGTCGTAAAATCCCTTGTTTTCCTCGTAAACGTCACCGGGGATGCTCTGTCTCCACTTGTAGGTGATGGGAATGTTCTCGTACGTGTTCAAGATGATCTCGATGACTTCTGGAGTAACAGATACCGACCGGAGCACCCTGTGGAAGGACCCGGCCCAGATGCCCCACGAACCGGAGCTGAAAAGAAAGCGGACGCACTGCTGTGCGAGGTCCCGCTTTGCCTCCAGCGTGGACGACCAGATAGCATGGTAAATCGGAGTGTTTCCGTCATAGTCCCGCTTGTTGACGTCGGCTCCGCCGTCGACTAGAACTTTTAACACGTCAAAATCTGCCGCTGTACACGCCTTGTGGAGGGCGGCCTCTGTGTCACCGTCATGGGCATCAATGTCAGCACCGAAGGCAATCAGCTTCCGAACGGCGTTGGCGTATTTACCTTCACAGGTACTCTTTTCGCAAGCAACTATCAGGGGAGTTGCTTCGTTGCCATTTCTAGCGTTCACATCGGCACCGTGGTTTACTAGCAGGCTGCACAAGTCGTCCAAGCCCTTCTCGGCGGCTTTGTGCAAGGGCGTGTCTCCTTCGTACCAGGACGCGCCTTCGATGTCCGCCCCCCTGTGAATTAAGGCTTTGGCGCACTTGTAGTATGATCCTGTGTCGCAGAGGTGAAGTGGACAGTACCCGTCCTCATTCATCTGATTCGCGTCGGCCTTGTAGGCCAGCAGGAGGTCCACAAGTTCGGCGTTTCCCAGCTTACAGGCGGCGTGAAGCGGGGCGTCGTTGGTCGGGGCGTAGTTCACGTCCGCCTTCATGCGGAGCAGGTAGGAAGCGCAGTCCACGTGGCCGTTCGACACCACTATGAAGAGCGGAGTGGTAACTTCGTTCACATACGACATGGACCACAGACCTGCATCAAAACAACAAACAAACAATACCATGTTATCCAACTTGTATTTCATGAGAGTCTGTTACTCTGCCTCAAATCATACGGTCTAAACCAACGTTTCAGAATCAACAATAAAACAATAATTCAATCAAACATATTTGATTTCTTTCATCATGTCTTGTCCTTATTGCAAAAGACTCCTAATTTTTTAAGACCTTTACACCCTATTGGACGTTCATTGTCTAGTCTAGTGTTCCTCTGTTAAGCCCTGCTCACACTAAATATTGCTCCACCACATAAACGTTGTACAACAGAGGTTGATCATGGTACAGGGTTCTAACATGTCATAATGTGTTTTCGTAACGCTTACTGAGGAAGCGGGCCACTGCATGCCTGGAATAGCAGCAGTGCCGCAGTATGTCAACATCCGACAACGCTCTTTCATGCGTTTTGTTTCTCCTTAAATGTGAAGGCAACACTAGAACAACCCTTATTAGCACGTCCTGGTAAATAATACCTACCTAATCTGTCGGAACGTATTCTGAATTTGGTACTCCGTAGTTACCACCAAATAACGTACCGCACAGTTGGGGTGACGTAAGGCGTGGCTTTTAGGACAGGCTCAAAATAGACTGTTTGCCTCGTCATGGGACAACAACGTATAGATATCATGATTCAACGACCATGTTGTTTATGTGTGGTGAAGTTTATACCACACTTGTTCATCTGACCGTTTTAAAGGGGAATATTGTACAATTACACTGACGTAACGGTCAAGTTCAGATGAATCATACACTTTCGAGATGACCGTGGTCTATTCATCATTTTGAAAAAATTTTTAGCTTAGTCACATGATTATATTACTGATTTTCAAAGACTTAAACACGGAATTATATCTTTTGCACATTCAGATATTATCTACCTAGGAAACAACGTCAGTAGCGCACACTGAGTGCAACTTGTTCTAGTACCTTGCAGCTCATAGTCCCACACCTCCTTGTTGTGTGTGAAATCCCGATTGATGCCGAACCCGTCCCTGACACACTTCCTGATATCTTCCAAGTTGCCGTCCTTACAGGCGGTCTCGTACCTCTGGTCTATACTCATGGTCACTCGGTATCTCCTCCCGAACTAACGTTTGACTATGTGTTTACTTCTGCACACAAAATGGCGGACTGCTCATGCGCACTGCAGGTATTTGTAGGATGTTGGTACGACGTTCATGTTTCGACTACTACTAGTACAGGTACCAGTATCATGATGGGATGATGGTCATAAGACGTTGATGCCCTCGGTTTCTAATATATACGATATCGCATGAACTTTTAGACAGACGAAACGGAATATTGTTTTTCAAGATTATCTCTGTCATGCTGTCAAAGGATTCGTTGACAAATAAGACTCCCAATCACCATGCTACAGCCACTACTGACTTACTCACAACCTATTCCTGACCTTTTCACAGGCCGTCCAGACCTACTTCCCGGATATTTTTTTAAGATTTCGAAACATTCCGTTGTCGCGGACGACCAATAGCCAACCTTGCCAGACCATGCAACTGCCAGCCACAGCCGACCTTGCTCCGAAGCATGGATGAAGGTTGGGAGTGGTCGGGAAGTCATGGTCGGTTATGTGTGTCAGGCTTAGGGCCATGCGGGGAGGAGATGTGAATGAAATACCTATGACGTTTCCAAAGATCATATCTGTAGTGGTGTTTGTCTGTTTCCACGAATTGAAATTTGATTTATGAACAAGACCTTACGACAGGCCTGACTTTACGATATATCATGTATATAATGATGCGGATGCGCCTTGGGGAAAGTCAATTAAACTGGACTCCAGCAGATGGCTGTTCTATCAACGAAAAGCCGCTAACTACAGGCGTCACTCGGATACTATACCGATAGCTAACCTCAGCAGCCAAATCAAACGGTTCAACATGGCCGTGACCCAGTGTGTGTACAAAAGATGATCCTCCCCACAGGGAAAGACTCACCCAGCGCAACCTCCCGTCCCACGTCCTCTGTCAGAACCTTATCTACAAACTCCATGTTAACGTCGCAGCCATTCGTCACCAGTTCTTTCATCCCCTTCTTGTCTCCTTCTTGCAGGAGCTGACGGAAGCGGGCTGCGGCCAGCGACATCTTGGTTTTGGGACTGACCGTGACGTACTATATACTCGGCTGACACTTGGCCGAGATCCAACTTTTATAATGCGCAACAAGTCTGGTCATATTGACTCACAGTATCTATTTCGTGGTCTCCAAACAGATGTTGAGCGCGCTACAGCCCACGCAATCGAAGTAACGTACGTGTATCTAGCCACGTACAATTTACTATCTATACTCCATATCACGGTGATGAGTTACTAATCCTGTAAATGTATGTCTGCGGTACAATAATATCTTACCTTGCCCCACAAACCTTATTTCACCTTTCTTCAGTACATATTCCACCAGCTCGGTATCGTCTTTCTCCGGCGTTTCTATGGCTGCATTCGCGGTGGCCATTTCCGCTAACAGCAGAGATTTTACCTCTTCTATAGAACCTCTCTTGAAAACATCATACAATGCAGTAGGGGTTTGTTTCTCCACAGATGTTGCCATGATTTTTCAGTTGCCAGGCTTATTGTGTCGGTTGCCTATCAGTGGTATGCTTTTGTTCCGTCCTGACCAAAAAGGAGCGACTGTCCAAAATGTATGAGGCCAAAAACAGCAAGTTTAATTTACCATAAAAGCGGAAAGCAGACCAAATATGCAGCCCCTACTTCTTTCTTCAATCTATCGTACAAGAATTTCTGTGTAACACTGTGTACAGCAGCCGGTTAGTGTGCATTGGTGGCCCAAATGGCAATTATATTAGCACTTATTAGGTATGCTGAAATGAGTCTGGTCAGAAAAGGAAATTAATCAGTATTCGCCTATTAAGTAACAAGTATCCTGACGAAATGGAAGACAACGTGATGATATTTACATTTTATCTTTTATTTCATAAAGTAGAAAAGAATACCAGACAGTATAATACATCAGTATTACGGTAAATGTATACAGCATCGAATATCAATTGATTTTCATATTTCAGGGTTATCAATATATACAATAATAGGTTACAGGTACACTAATAATAAAAGCGGCCCATTACAGCTGACCAGACTACACCATAACATTAACATTCTTTACATCTGCTTTCTTCTCGTCCTCCTTGTAAGTCTCAGTATCTGCATCAAATCCCTTCATCGTACTAAATGTCCTCTCTAGCAGACATTTTCTGTAAACCATTTAGATCTTGAATAAAGATTTACATTGTTCATCCGTAGAATCCATCCTCGTACACTTTACTAATAGGTCTCTTCCTCTTACATTTCTATTAAAAACCTCATTTCGTCGACGCTCCTAGAAACACCAAGACACATTTATACACCGACAATTTATGATTTATATGTGTCATGTCGACTCTAAACCGTACCGTTCTAAAAGGTACCGTACAGCCATAAAGCCTCCAGCATCCAGTAGCCTAGCTTCTGATATTGATATTGATAACAAATGCAGCTTACATAAATATTTGTTATTTTACGCATACAAATTACAGCATTGTGGCATTCCGTCCCAAAATCTATCCTCGGTTAATCGTTGTAACAATTAAACATTACATTGCTTACCCATTGAGTTTTGACTAGGTACCGACCGTACTGTACAGAGTTCTGAATACTGTCGTGTCAGTGCATCCCCGCCTCTCCTGGAACAAGAAGAATGTACTTCTTCAGCCCCGGAGCTATAGGTAACCCGTCAACGACCTTCTGGCATCTCTTTCCGAGAAAAGTCCTCAGCGAGCTTCTAGCGAGATGTTGCAGTGTGGCGGGACTTTTTCCGAGACTCAGAAATGCCCTGTAGAAGTCGCCATGTTCCTCCATGACGTCATCAGGGATGGACTCCCGCCACGACGCCGTTATCTGTAGGGAGGCGTGCGAGTTGACCAGCACTTCGATCGTCGGTGGATGTCCGGCGCATCGTGACAGGATCTGGAGGAATTCTGTCGGGTAGACTTTCCAGGCGCCGTTGTTGACCATGGCCTGAACACATCCTTCCGGCTTGCCCTTGACCGCGTCCTTGGAGTAACCTTGGGCAAGAAGCTCTGTGGCCGCTATAGCTTCGAACAGAGGTGTCTTAAAGTAATAATCTCTGTGGTTGATCTTGGACCCACTGGCAGCGAGAAGCGTCGCCATTCTGTGATCACCATTACGGCAGGCCTTGTGGAGGGCGATTTGGCTGTAAAGCAGAAAATGCAGGGATAGTGAGTTACTATGTACGCAAAATATCCAGAATATATGCGACCACAGTGGACATAACTACAACAATGAAATTCCCATAGCATAAAGCCCAACTGACACCATCAAAAGCTCTTCAACGATCATAATTGAGACGCGAAACCAGATGAATTGAACATTTTCTACTGACTCACTTTTCCTTATCCTGGATGTTGACGTCGGCACCGACCTCTACCAGTTTCCGACAGACCATGAGATAACCGTCATCGCCCGTGGTGTGGTACGCAGCCAGGAGTAAAGCAGTCTCCGTCTCCAGGTCTTTCACGTCAGGATCCGCACCGCTCTCCAGGAGCAGTCCGACCAGCTCACCCAGACCCTTACTGGCCGCCATGTGGAGAGGAGTCTGCTGCTTCTCCCAGGATGTTTCGTTAATTTTCTCCTTGCTGGCCTGGGGGAAGAGGTTTGTTTGTTTGTTTGTTTGTTTGTTTGCTTTTTCGTCAAAAACACGAGACATGTGAAAGAGCAGGTATTGCTAGTTCCCGTGACATACCGTTAGCGACGTAGGCATCTACTCTATGGGCAAGCAAAAATAAACGTGAAATCGGAGACTTCAGGGAGTATTCTGTTTTTTTCTTGAATTGGATATTAGAACAACCGAGGAGACTGCATGACAAACTTTGATCGATTGCCATTCTGTCTGTCAATCTCCCTCCCACCCACGTGCTGTTGTCTGGACAGGCATGCACACATAGACATAGACAGACCCACCACAAAATACTTGAAGTGTACACACGAAGTATTGAATACCCACTCACCTTCACCTTGAGTAAGAGCACAGCACACTTGACGTACTGCTCTCCAGGCTTACAGCACAGATGCAAGACGTTCAGACCGTCGTCTGTCTCCATGGTGATGTCGGCACCATAGTCCAGCAGCAGCCCGACGCAGTCCACGTGACCGGCGTCCACCGCGGCGTGGAGCGGCGTCCAGCCGCCCGGAGCGTAGTCCACCTCCGCCTGGCGGTTCAGCAGGTGCCGCATGCAGTCCACGTAACCGTTCTTGGCGGTGACGTACAGCGGCGTGACGTATTCCGTGTCGTAGATCATTTGCCACACTCCTAGAGAAAAGAAATGTATCATAATTTTGATTAGAGAAAACTTTGTCAAGGTTTTACGTTAGGGCCTTGTCATATACGTCGTATGATAGTAGTACGATCGCAACTTGCCTGTCTTGCTTGTACCCTGTTAGTTTTCACAGCCGGCTTCAAAATCATACGTCGATATGATATGACCACGCGAATATGACAAGGTCATAAAATTAAAGAAAACTTTTGTTTCAGTGAAAAAAATAAAATTAATTAAACGCCGTACAATAAAAGCTATGAACCCAGTGCCCAGTACCGTCACTAACAAACATGGCCAAAAAATCTTAAACAAGTGGCACTGACTGTCAATAGTCTATTTTGGTTGCCGTGATATGAGTCATTCCAAATCTTGTTTTGATTAACAGTACTAGTAATACAAAACAAGATGTACCCTTCCCATGATTCATCAGCTACTGCAAAAAGAAATTCAAAGTCTGATGTAATCTATACGGTATTCTGTCTTTTTTCAATGATTTCTATATTGCCCTTCATGAGATATCAAAGTTATTCAAGATATGCGTCTCCATCAGATAAAGTCTTTTAACGAGGACATACCCGGTAAACAAGTTTTGTTGGTACGCGTCAAACCTGGCACCATGCCTCTGGTGTCTCGTGACTGTTATTAGCCTGGTAACCATTCTCACGGGCCGGCGTAGGGGGTTTTAACTGCCCTAAGCTACTACTTAATAGGCTATCTTTTGCAGTCCACAGTCCAAAGACAAAATGATATCAATGTGTTCCACGTCGTCCTCTGGTCGCTGCCTGCTTAACAGGTCTGCTATCCGAGTTGTCAAAAAGTATAAAGAAAACGTACACGGAGCAATATAGACAAACGGATGAGAGCAGTAGTGTAAAAATATACATTGTAAATACCACCTACCAGGAGCAACTTCCCTGACGTCGCCCTTCTCGTAGATGTACCGCATCAACTCGTCGTTATTCTTGTACTGGACCTCCAGCTTGGCGTCCACCTTCCCGACATTTCGGTTCAACATCTTCAACATGTTCTTCAAGTCCCCTTCGCTCACGACTGAGTAGAACCAGCAGGCGTCTTCCTTGGTCCACTTCTCCTCCCGCTCCAGACACTTCAGGAGTTTCTCCAAGAACCCTTCTTGTGCATCCGACAAAAACGATTCGAAGGAACCGATACAGAAGTCCTTGATGAAATCCATCTCTCTTCTTATTGGAACGGATTCGAAGAGTTTAGTGGAATGTATCCTCGGATTCACTTACTTCGCACTGTCCTGCTTAAACTGACTCTTCCTCTTAGACGTCTGTTGTCCTCTTCCAAAACGTACCGATAGCTACCTCCAAAAAAAAAACCCAAGTCCAAAACCGTTTGTGACCCCAGCGAAAAGTAACAGTCAACGTCTCTAAGACCTTCTGGAAGTCTGTTCTTCTGTCCGCCTGATGAGCACACTTCTCTTCCTCTCTCTCAGTTTTTCTGAGAAACCAGGACGAGTGAATCAGTTTATATACGATGTAAGATGTAAACACTGACGACATAAGTTCAAAACTTGTGCGCAACGAGTCTTATGACTCCCACGTGACCGCGAACCAATCCCCGCCACAGAAAATGACGTAACTGTTCAGTGATGCCTTCGCCCGGGTGAATGTTCAAGGATCTATGACGTAGTGGAATATTGCAAAATATTTGTGACCTGACTTGCATAGATGGTTTTACATGAAACTAATTTCCATGCTCTTTGCATGTGACCAGCGCGGGTAAAGTTAAGTTGACGTCATGATATTAATGACTTTGTAACAGTCAAACTTGTAAATGCAGTATAATAGCCATAGATTTTCACTATTTGTAAAGTGACAGCGGGTTACGGTATTGACCTTAATTGAATAAAGACTGGCTCTACCGCGACGTTTTTTTTTTGTTCAAACAGAGCTGGCGTCTATGAAAGGCGGTAGCTACTTACTGCTCCCTATGCTAAAATGGTTCAGTCCTTGTGGCATTTCGTCTCTGTTATTTCAAGCCTAGTCGTCACGGAATTGTGAACGGAAAACACCCACCCGGCGCGTGACATGAAGTAAACACGGCGTCAACATGTCAACAGTCGCCGGTCATAAGTGACCAATAAACTCTACGAACAACCCATCCTCTGGTCTGTATGTTCTTCTTTTACTTATATCTTTTTGGAAAACGGGAAATAGTTTTATCTTGTGCTGTGTAAAACTTCATACGAGTAAAGAGTACGTATGCAAAGGTCTACAAAAGCTTACAAAAGTCTAAGCTACTGAAGGCTTTTTTCCCATTTGTTAATGTCGCGATTGGCTATGTAGTTATCTTCCATAGGTCGGCAAAGCCACCGTGAGGACTGTGGCGTTATTTAGGGGCCCACAATGCATTTCTGTATCTGTATCTGTATAGCCGATATAACCGCCTTTCGGCGTAACACACCAGCTTCGCAGGCACGCGGCGCGGCGGCAGCTGGCTATATTACACCGATCGACTTGTTACACCTAACCCTTGAACTTCTAGCTCTAGAGATTGTTTAAAGCTATCTATTGACAATGCCCCTACTGTACTTGGTGACAGTGAGTTCCACTCTGCGATAGTTCTAGGAAAGAATGAATTCTTGAATTTCTCTGCCGCGCTTGAAGGGATAACCGAAAAGTGACATTTGTTTATATCAAGACCCCTAAGGGATAATCACGCAGTACTTGAAAGAATATTCTTTTGCTGAATACAAGAAAAAAAGGGCCCGTTAATCAAAATGTTTGGATTTTTTCTTTTCCTACAGCTGTGAGACAAAGCAATTTTTATAATCTCTGTTACAAACAACTATTGTATCGTAAGTCCCCAAAACGAGTAACTTAATTAGATCGGCCCTTTTACAAAAGAAAAATAGCCGGAAGAAAAAATACACACACACAGCGATCCCAAGATGGCCGATTGGCAGTGGTACTCTAGAGAAGCCCAGCATTTCAAAAGAGAAGTGACGGATCCCTTCTTCGACGCGCTGAACGAAGGCGCCGAGAAGAAAGTTGTCAACTATCTTGAGAAACACAGACGGCCGGTCAACAAGCTGTGGGAATGGGACGGCGAGGAATGTTGGGAATACGACATACAGGGTAGGTACTCTGTCCCCTTATACGCTGACCCTCTGGGTTGTCCTACTCTCAAAATAGTCTCCAAGAAGAGGTTGGTTCCGCTATGGGGAGGGTGGTCGAATGTTTAAAACGGCGTCCCTGGAAAAGGCCATTGGAGTGGATGTGTAAGGAACCGCAAGAATATGATTTACAGGGTAAGTAACAATGGAGAAATGGTTTTATTTCGTAACAACGTTTCATTACAGCATTCACGTATTCAGCAAGAACGGGTTCGTCATATAAACACAACCCTACTTGACATATCATATCATAACATAACAGATCACATGTGATAATAAGCGTCGCACAACTTTTGAGCTATTATAAAGAAATTACATCCCAAGTATGAACTTAGCGCCTTGAATGATGAATTTCATAATCAGGCATTATGTTATTCTCATAGTTCGGACCAATTTATCATGTCCCAATTACGCGCTATTTACATATACCCCCTCGGCATATTATGGTCCACCCCCTGGCTTGTTATGATGCTCCCTGTATATGGTATCACGGAATGTCGCCTGTACATAGATGAAATGCCCTTTGGTCCACGCGTTCTCTTCAGGGGGAGGGGTACAGAAAAGGGTTTCTTTACTTTGTTACTCTATGATATTGCATTAGGTCGTCAGAAATTAACCAAAATCGGACTGAGCCGTGTGTGTAGGACTTTTTGTAGCGTAGAGTCTGGTCGTCACTACTTATAACTACAAACGGAAGTTCTGCTGCAGTACCAAGGAAAGCTGCCAGGAGGCCCGAATTCGACATTGACCATCGTCTTCGCAATAACTGCCAACTTGGCATGCCAAATATCATCACAGTCCATCCGGAAACTCAAACAAACAAACAAACAAACAAACAAACAAACACGACACACCCAAAACAAGACCTCCATTTTCATGGAGGTAATTTTTTGTAATTCAGGATACCGATACATTGACATTGTCTGATGAGGGTAGCAAAACCATCATATTCATGGTATTTCTTCCTTAGGCCTGACGTTTAAATCAGCATGAACTTATTAGTTATATCACATCACAGTGTGTCCATCCAAGATGGCGTACACCTCCAAAGACAGGTTCTTCCAGGCCTTGTCCCAGGGAAACCTAGACCAGGTAAAAACTCTCCTGGACAGGCGCATGGACGTGGACGCCGTGCTGGAGGTCAAACAGATTTACAAGGACGAAAACGGCGAAGAACAGCTGCTGACACTGATGGAGTACTACAGGAAAATGACCAAAGGGTCTGCCCTCTACCACAGTCAGTACAAGTTTGGTGGCGATATTTAACACAACGTAACATCTGTAAGATTGTTCTTGACGTATACAGTAATTAAAGTGTGGTATTTATCAACATAAAATGATCTTTCTTTATTCACAAAGGCAATGCTAGCGCTAGAGAATTGCTTAGCATTTTTCGTAACGTGTACAATAGCAGCTATTTATATCTTTATTTGCGCCATTTGCATTATTATCCCATGCATAACCTTATTTTGAATAAACCATCATTACTTTTGACAATGGCAAGTTCTTCAAACCATCCTCCGGCGAAGTCTTACAGCAGCTGTAGCTGAATTGTGCCTGGGGCAACGCGTTTATATGAATATTACCATGCAGCAGGACCCAGATGGTGGATTAGATATGAATATGATATGATGTTATGAAATATGATATCAAAATGTTTTGTACATCTCGAAGCGTCAATTTTAGTAAGCGACCCTTTAACGGTGACGATCAACAAACATGTCTTGAAAACCAGTTATACAGAAATACAGGTCGAACTGTTTTTGTTCCCGTTGTCTTACATAGTCTTAATACATTGTAATATCTAGCTCTACTTACCTACCGTCATATTACGAAACACGCCAACTAAACATACTTTATAACTTAATGGATACATCTGCTAAATTTGCTTATCCAAAGTTACTTAGAAAGTCGAGGAAAAAGTTTGAAAGATATGCTGAACTATTTGGGTAACCCAAGGCCTGAGAACGATATCTTTTGCTCATTATATATTCCCTCATTGTATATGTTATGTACCATATGAAGCTATCTGGGTCAACGATCATAAATATATCTAACCTTATAACCTACAACCTCTATATGAATGTAGAATACAGAAATATTGTATCGTGAAAAGCACAACAAATAAACAAAACAATTATATAGAAGGGTATAGCAACAACTTGCATATATGCAGTAATTGAATGAATTACGTATGGATAGATCTTGGCACTGGTACCTTCCCTTAGGATCTAATCTATGTTGACGATGGATGTACCCGTTGGCATCGCTGTTTTTGGTTTGACGGGACATAGCGCAATAGCTAGCGCACAGACATGTCCACCGCGTTGAAAGACAACTTCTACCGGGCCCTGGTGAAGGGTGCGAGGGAAGAATTCGATGTTTTCCTCTCCAAGGGGATACATGTGGACGCCGTACTGGAGGTGAAACCGTTTGTGGAGGAAAACGGCGAAGTTCGCGTGTTGACATGGCTGGAGCACGTTCAGAGGGAGACCAAAGATCTAGACCCGAGACAGAAAAGGAAATTTTACGGTGGGTTTAAAAATCGTGCATGTTCTTTAATTGATAACGTGATAATCAAGCATGCGCAGCATATTGTCGATATGAAACGAAGAAGAGAACAAAACGTTCATGACATCCTGGCATAATGAGGTCTATATACATAAAACGTATTACTCGTATTTACTTACATTGATAATATACTTAGCTTTATACAGGTCTGATTCGGTCCCTTATGTTTTTTTTTAATGAAGACGCTATGTCTCGTGAATCTCAATTTGTCACTTAATTTCATCTCATGACATCACAAACTGGTATCCCGCTCAATAAGAATCTGTCACGACCGCGATAGAAACTTGGACTTGTATTTTAGAATGTTTGTGGTACACCATACACAAAGATTTATGTATCCCCACATTGCGTCTGTACAACGTCTAACATCCGGACTCGACATTCGTATCTTCCCATTGAGAACGCCTTGACGTGTTTGTTGTGTGTTCACAACCTGACCCTTGTCCACCCAGCCATTGCTGGTACGTGTCGGATATTTGAAGCGGAGGATTTTCTAACAGTTAAGTGTAAAAAGTACAGGTTCATGCCACGGCCAGACGACGCTACAGATGGACGTCCTTAGCTTGAGGGACCGTTTTACAGAGTCCTGGAGAAGGACAAGATCGAAGACGTCAAGAGGTTCCTTGAGATCGGAGTGAACGTGAACGCCGTCCTGGAGGTGAAACCGTTCACGCAGAATGAGAAAGGGGAGGACGTGTTGATCTCCTGGCAGGATTACATAAGGAACGCGACAAAGGGCCTGTCCGTCAGACAGATACGTAAGCTGTGTGCGGTATACGTCGACCACAAACACAACCTATGTTTTACAGTCTTGTGAGGTTTAGATGGACATTATGGAGTAGAACTTCTGAAAATCCCAACTAAGATTGTAGTGATGACATTGGTTGTGACATCTACAGTATCAGCAGTGCGTAGTTTGATCCCTGTAACTCCGGGCGATGGCGCAGGCTATTTTAGGCCTTACCAGCGCGCTGTCAGGCTCAATATGTCAGTCTGACTATGTGGGTGATATGTCTATGATTATAGTATTTAGAAAAACGGCATGTAGAAAAGCCGACTATACCGTAACTGCAGATATAATAGCATGTAACGGTAAATAGCAGATACTAAGAAACTTTGTCATCTATATAATGCTTTTGAGAAAGACATTTTGACCATCTTGTCTACTTGTCTAATTATATGCTAGTTTATATATAAAAGACGTACGTGTGCAAACATCAAACATGTCATTTCCTCTCCGTGGTAACGTGATTATTCACATGTCAATTCCTGTCCGTGCCGTTGTTCTTCAGGAATCTGGTCTATGACGTTCGTGAAGGAGTACACCACGCCTCTGTACATCACCGCCAGTAAAGGGTACATAGAGTGCATGCGCCACCTCCTGGACAGACGGGCGGACGTCAACTACTCTCCCAACGGCTGGTCGCCCCTCCACGCCGCGGTAGATGGGGGACATGTGGACGCCGTACAGGTGAGCATTGTCGTTATGTACCCCATTATCACGCCCAATCAAATGAGGACATTCATCTTGTAAGTCTAGATTCGCCTAGAAAAACGGACATTCCTCTTGTATGCACGGTGTTGTATGCGCATATGCGTACATTCCTGTAAAACCCGAGCATTCCTCAAGCTTGTAAGTGTACATTCCTCTAGAAAAGCGGACATGTATATGCCTCTTATAAGCGCACATTCATCTAGAAAAAGTAACATGAACCAGGGATGAAAGTCTTATCATTTCAACCCTGTCGTGCATGGGCTAGTGATACAGTGCGTTTTCAGTGATTAACATTTTTTTCTTTGAGTGAACCAATATCTTTCGACTTTCAGTTGCTGATCAATCATGGGGCAGACGTGGACTTGGAGACAGAAGACACTGGGAAGACGGCGTTACACATGTGCTGTGGAAAAGACTATTTAAAGATCGCCAAGCTGCTGCTACGGGTAAGCGAATCTTCTCACGTCTTTGGTCTGAGGCTCTACATGTGCCTGCCAATTGTTTTCAAGTTAACATTCTGCATGCCACCAAGTATAAATGGGAGGATACATGCATCACTCTTTTCCCTTCATCATTTCTCCTATCAGTCCAATAGGTGTTGGAGACCACTGGTGGTGAAGTGGTTACATTGCATTTGATTTTTTAGGACGATACGTCAGTACCCGTGCTTACATGTGACTAGTTCTGACTACGATATACTCTTCCAGAGAGGGACCAACATCAACGCCAAAACCTATGACGTCGAAGAGACACCCCTACACGTTGCCGCCCAGAACGGTCTCTTCGACTTGGTCGATCTTCTGTTGGAGAAAGGTGCCGATCCCAACGCGACCAACAACGAAGGCGACACGCCCCTGGCCCTGGCCTGCACCTGCACCGAGGGAGACAGCTACTACCACAGCACCGTGGAGAAACTTATCCAGTGGGGCGCGGATGTCAACCTGAAGGACAAGGAAAAGAAGTTGCCTCTTCACAATGCTGCTCGCAAGGGGGACCACAGGCTGGTGGAACTACTTGTTCTGAAAGGCTCGGAGATCAACGCGAGGGATTACTTCCTGAAGACTCCGCTGTTCGATGCGGTGGCGGCGTCTGAAATAGCGGGCATGGGCGCTGAGGGAGTGGTGAAGGGGAAGCCGGAGAAATGTGTCCAAATTTTGCTGAACAACGGCGCTTGGCGGATTTTCCCCGAAATCTTTCACCGCGTCCTTGTCATGTGTGCTTCATACCCGCCCACCGTGGAAGTACTCATCAACGCGTACCCTCAGGTTAAAGTACCGAGCTTGTGGATGGAATCGATACCTAAAGAGGCTTTAGCCAAATTTCGGGACTTCTATGAGGCATTTGAAATACTGGGTCGTAGTCCTGGCTCTCTGCAACATCTCGCGAGATCTTGTTTGCGAGATTTTCTAGGACGAAGGTGTCACAGTGTGATATCCCAACTTATGATCGCCCCACGTCTGAAAAGATACCTTCTTTTGGAACCTGGGGAGGCAGGACTGCATTAACCGTTGTCAAATAAAAAACTATATGCATCGATGTTATAGGATATTTTCTGTCTTACAAAATGCTACAAGAGTTGCCTTGAACACTAGTCGTCCATAAACCATGCAGGTAGAAAAAAAACAACACTTTTTCTACCTCCATGATAAAACTGAGCAGCAGGGTAACAGCTTTAGGCTGGGTCACATTCATCGTTTGTCGTCGCACGATTTTTGATAGATAGAATTTTCAAGCTGGCTGTGACAGAACCAACGGCCGACAAGGAGCTATTACAGTCTTTTCCGTAACAAGACAGCTAAATTTTGCAGGACACATCCACCGCTATCCCAAAAACGTGACCGGGCCATTACGGCAGAATCTGATGCATCTCAGCCACGATTGTCATACAGCAAAACCCAAAGGCAATGTGATGTGCGATGATTCGTGTAGAATTTTTGAAAAGGTTGACAAGTCTTCTCATGCTTACCTTGTAACTCACCGGGTAGTGCCTAAATTATAAAAGGTTAGTGTGAAGACTGGCAGTGTTTAATGATGTTCTATTGTGTGTTGGGTGTACATATGATAATTGGTTCTGTAGATGATTTTTGGCGTGTAAATAAACGTACATGGTAAATTACGATGCACTTGTATTTCTTTACAAAATACTTCCAACGGATAAACAACCTCATTCATCATGCACCAGTCAAGAGTAAGCATGACAAAAACAGGGGGAAGAAACGTACCAAAACACATACAGCTCAAAAATAAAAGTCGAATTAAGCGTGACGTAAATATGCATATTGTTAATACATAAATATTTATGTGCCATGTTGACCAAGTACTGGCCAGCTATACTATACTTTGTGAACACAAAATTCGAATTGTGATTTATTCAACTTGTTATTTTCCAACAACAACTGTATGCGTGATGTTCATGACTGATTGGTAGTGCTGACAGGTCCTTGCAAGACTACCATAGGGTATAGCTACATGTATGTGTGTACATGTAGTTTCTCAGAGGCTCTGCTGTTGTTGCCCTGCGCAGTGACGTGCCTGCAATGGACATGAGATGTAACGTTAGTACCCAGTTGCTAGGGAAGAGCACCAGATTAAGCCGATTGTATTTCAAACTTAATAAGGGATGAAGGGTCACTGTACGTGGCTGCGGTATATTGTAATCGTTGCCAAACTCTTGTTTATATTATGACCTCCTCAGTGACCGCGCGGACGCATACGTATTTTCAAGTGCCGTGGAAAAACACATTTTTGCCGTAACAACTTGTGTAAACAACACATGAGAGAAAAACATGCAGCGAGCCAACGTTACCATGACACGTTACCACAACGTGTACTTTTGCATGGAATTTAAATTGTAATAATAATTTCTATAAAAATCGCGTTATTCCATCTGCACGTTGTATTTCACACTGGTGTGAAACTGTGGCGCGAGACCAAATATTTGAGGACCTGATTATGAACAGCTCCGGGCAACATTCTCTGTCCATGTTTGAAAGAACGAATTGCACAAGTACAAAACAACCCGTAAACATACTGGAGCTCTGGTTCTCTGGCTCATGCGTGGCACATTCTAAACAAACGATAGTATCTGCATCTGCGACACTCTCTCTTTTACGTCAGGTTACCTTGACCGATGACATTTTACACTTCATTACCCTCCGTGTAAACAAAGAGAAAACGTATCATTCTCTGCTGACAAAATTTGCAGCTATCAGCGTGCAATCATGACTGTAGTACATCTTCAACACTTCATACTATCTAACGATGTCAAAGAGTGAAGACCTCGGCCGCATTTTTCGTGCGTGTTGGACAACATTCTACCGAAGGTGTATACATTCGCCCGAAGGCACGCGTTTCAGGCAGATAGCTTCGTGCTATTAGGAGTGTTGATCCAGCAACCTCACGTGTGACCACACTGACTGGGCATTTAACAACCCAGGGGAGGAACCACCATTGGGTGATATTACAACAGATACAGCTCTCTTTAGCTCAATTCGTGGTGTAAGTGATCGATATGCATCATTTGATTTAAACACAATTCTTACATTATATGAGTACGATGCAATTTGTACAGATACATCAACTTCATTTAGAAGTTATCAACAGTAAACATAGTACCCTTTGGCTGCGGATGTACAAAGTACCGTCCCTGAATCTGACAGAAATTAAAGGTCTTGCTGTACACCCACTTGTTAGCTGTTTTGACGTATTGCAGAAGTCCCTTATCAAACTCGGTAAGTCTTAGTCTTACCAAACAGACAGGTACCTAGAGCTTTACTATGACTTCAACATTTCTTAAACCTGTACATTATAATGGAAACTGCTTTGCATGATGAAGAGGTGTGTTTTTGGAATAGGGTGAGCACTATGCTGATACGGCGTGGTCACATTCGTCGTAGGTCGTCGTACGAACCAACCGTCGACAAGGATGTTAATTAAAACAATCGTTATTGTAACAACATGAATTTTCTACGACATATGCATGCACGACTATGCCAAGAATCCGAACAGTTTGCGATCAAATGACGATCGTACCACGAATGTGACCAGGCACTAAGTCATTCATTTATCCACTCATAACTGTAATTTTAAAATGAATATCGAATATAAACTCCAAGCAGATTTTTGGGGAGCCAATGATTACGTTTTGCATGCTAGCTGTCCTTCGATCTGTCGAACTGAGAGGCAGTTTGACACAAATTATCCTCAGTGACGCGCTGTGCACGGTGCGCTGTGATAAGAAACGCTGTGACCTTGAGTCAATACTGGATGGCTAACAAAATAGGCAAATGTTTTGTTGTTACTTGCCACCAGTCAGTCTTTTCCTACTTAGTAACTATCACAGTATATAAAAACTACTCAAATCACACAGTTTGATACAAATTCTACATGATGACAACGGACGCGCTGTGATAAAGCTAGATCAACTGCTTGAATAAGTACTGCGTGGTAAACGTGACATTACAAACGTGATTTTAAGGAGCTATTCTCATGTTTCTCCTTTTCAATTATCACAGGCTAAGCCTTGACGCACCAACACATTTGATACAAATTCTACACGATGACAACGGACGTTAACAAGGATCTCCTGGGCATGAAGACCACCATCTTCGGACTCCTGAGGACCGTGCAGAAGAACGTGACAGAGATGAACACCATCTCGGGCACCCTCGGTAGTCTGATGGGGCGTACCAAGAGGCTGAGGGCGGGGCGGGCCAAAGGCAGCAGGACCGCCAGGAAAGCTACTACAAAGACGGCGAAGACAACAGTAGCTACATCCAGCGAGAATACAGCGGCACAAGATGGAGACAAGAATGTGGCCAGCACCGGAAACGGACCAGCGGACGACAAAGCGGCGGAGATGAAGAGAATGACGGAGCAGATGAACGAATGGATGAAGAAGGTGGAGGAGGAAACCAAGAGGCTGGAGACAGAGAACGCTCTGATGACGCAACAGCTGTCCAAGATCGCTGTTAACGTTAAGAGCTGACTGTTTGGTCGAATGTCAACGGCGCGATAAGTCAGTGTCTTCTGACCATAAGGATAACAGCATATGTTGTCGGTTAGCGTTTTCATATAGAGTAGATTTACGAGGTGGCTAATGATCTGTAAGCTGAAATGGAGCTTTGTTGCCATTTGCCAGTGCTCAACTTTTTTTTTACTATTTTATCTTGAAAACATAATCTTCACTGTAGGCATGTAACTTGCTTTCTGCTCTTGGTCCATTCATAGATCTAGTGTAGAGGTATTTAGCATGCAGTATATGTTCTTGGGCCATGCATACAAGACGATAGTGTTTGATTGTGCAGAAGTGGCACGTGGTTAGGCTACAAAACGTTTATATATCTTATTTTACACTGATGAAAACTAATTCAATAAAAGAAAGAATTCTACAAGTGGTCTACCATCGTCATTTTCTACCCAATCTACCGCCATCCGCAATATATCATACAGGTCAATCGCTGTAATCATGGTGGCTGTGAAATATTCTCCAAACACAGCCCAGTTTTACATGACCCCCTGTCAGAATTGTCTTGCGGGTCAAAATGCAGATTATCAGTAATTAATCATATGTGAAGACGGGTATCTTTACCCTGGGGGTGTGGCGAATGGGGGAGGAGGTAGGACTGGTTTCGGACTACACCATCATGGTACACTGGGGAGGAAGCACCTACTGCCCTGCCTATTCATCTAACAAAGATGTACACTTAATCAGTCACTATACATATCACATGTAACATCTTGTCATAAGACTTTGATTTACCGCATGTACACATGTACAGAAAGTATTGCCTTATCCGTTATAAAATAAAAGTGATGTGTAGACGAACACCCCTCCATTATGGACCAACCAGAACCAGATCACTCCTCTCCCACTCCCCGATTGTCGCTTGTGCAACAGGAGCTGAACACCTGTCAACACTTGGAGAAAACTTTGAGTTCAGCATTAAAGGTAGGTTTAACTGATTGGGGAACAACATTTTAATGCTGTTATCTGAAATGGTTTATCGGAGAAAATGGGTCGTAGAGGCTAAAAAAAGTTGTAGAGGATAAAAAAAACCTTCTTGCTTTTATATCATAGATGAAGTGTATGATAGAAATAGAAGTTATCTCAAATAATATATTTTTTCCAGTACAAAGGACTATCGGCCTAATGTAAACACTGGCGTTGTTGTCGGCAGATCTTTCGGTGGTAAAGTCATAACCAACCTGCAAGACACTATTGAATTGGCCAGAGTGAGACACTATTCAAATGACCACAAGGTTGCCAGTTGGATAGCATCTGGCCAATATTTGATAGGGTCTTGGCTGTTGATTACGACTTTTTTGACACCGACCACAAGAACTGCTGGGAGATTATGACAGATTTTCCAATTTTGTCTCTTCAACGTACATTGGCCCCTTCCATCAGTGTGTGAATCTGGGTCATACCATATCCTGCAGCAGCATTTATCATGCATGCATAGTTACCACACAAAAGGCACAACAAAATGAAACTAATACAATGTAGTCTGCTTATCATGTCCAAAATTCCTATGTATCAAACTGAGTGCCCTTTACCACTGCACAAGGGGAAACGCACTCAGAAACATCCAGACTCTCCAGAGCAAGACAGTCAAACCCACAGCCCAAAAGAAAACTTCTGTACCCTGAAGATAAGTAAACATATTTGCCTCTTTATGATACCTCGTCCTTGTAGGAATACCACTCGAGCGTCCAAAGACCGGAAACACCAGCATGGCTGAAAAACTGATGGAAGTGGCCAGCACTGTGTCCAGTCTGATGAGCACTGCCCAAGAACATGGGTTAGAACTAGAGGCAATTAAAGACACTCTGGCCTCGGCATTCGGTCTGAAGAAAGGAGAAGAATCTGAAGGAAAGTCTGACGAACAAGGGGAGGAAGAAGAGGAGGAGCCTGGAGAAGATGAGGAGCCTGAGGACACGTCTTGAAGTTGATAATGGAGGTAGAAGAGGGTGGCAGAGAACCATGTACATCTTCACCACAACAGCTGAATGTATGGGGGATAGAGCTGTGTTTGTAAACATGTTTTAAGTATAGGTACACAGGTTTAAGTACAGGTTTGGACCAATCATCAGCTCCAATCATCTCTAAGTTATACTTGTAGTCTTTTTAAGTGGCAAATTTTTGTCTTTGTATGACAGTTTCCATATCTTATAAATATTAAAACAAGTCTTACTTTGAAGTCAATGTGGTATCTTTGAGCGGCAAATTTCGTGATTTTCAAATGAAAATTGTCACCTTTGAGCTGCAGTTTACTAACAGGCTTTTTAGGATATTAAGAAATGGTGTCCACTAGCCCAACTGGTGACTATAGTAATCCATATGGTGAATACTGTGCTAGTGGTGACAGAGAGATGGTGCGAGACTATTGACTGTTAAATGAAAATACAAAGTAGAATTTAGCATGCACAAACTGTCCCAAAACTAAACCTACCATTATAAAATTTTCAATTCTGCACATTGTAGACCACAAAAGATCACTGAATGTGCAGTTCTTATATATAAGGCTATAATCTATATCATCAAATTCCAAGTACAAGCAGCATATGTAATGAGAAAAAAACTTTATTTTTGTTCATATGGCAACAAACTACAACAGTCTACTCATACTAAGTTATAGGAAACCACATAGAACTAAGTCCAGCTACAAAATAAAGAAACAAAATGTAACAGAATACTAGTTAGTATTAATTTACTATAGACAGCTGATGTCATGTCTCTGGGCTTCATAAGAAGTTCTCAATATCATATTATGACATTCATGCAAACGTATTAAAGTTATGTAGTCAGGGCAACTACAGGACTACTCTGTACTTCAGTGACCAACCATGACTCACAAGTCATTTCTAAGTCAAATCTGACCAATGATTGCCATGTAAAAGTTGTGTCACTCAGCTAGTATGATGTGTTAGAAAAGGTGAGAAACAGAAAACAAAGTCGACTCTGAACTTTTGACAGGATTAAAGGGATTAGAAGCAAAGGGATTAGAAATCAAATTGAACCATTAGTATACAGTGAACAGATAAATGTCTGGGAATGTATCATGTCATCATAATAACATGGTATCATATGACACCAATAAGAACTCTTTCCCCACTCTTGCCTTCCAACAATAGGTAACTCAATAATGCACAGCCATTGCACTTGTCCCATGGCTTTGGAGTAACATCACATTCTCATATTTTGTAGAAAGGTCAGTATGTTATCTTATCTGACAAGAATCCATGTGCTGATGTTGCTTGCTGATCTGTTTGGATCATAAAAATTTTTATCTTTGTTCAGAAATAACAACTATTCATGGGTAAATGATGGAATAATCTTGCCGTTTCTTATGTATCAGTTACATACAACAAGCTGCTTCGTGGATTGAACTGCACATGCTCAATACAAAGTTGAAGGCCCCCGAGACATGAACAAAATCCATCTGTACATGGTACCAAGCATGGTCTAATCAAGAACTGTTTACAAGTTAGGGGTCTTCACCTTTTACTTTGCATATCTACAGGATAAACAGTCAAATATGCACTGGCTTCTAAAACTGCTTGTAAACTCTCAATGCCTTCCATGTACTTTTAGGTTCCTTACAGAGCTTAGGCATACAAACTTCTCTCCATCAGTTACCATGTACAGAACACAGTGCAACACTCAGTTCCTGCGGTTGTCATCATCATCGTCATCAGCCCTTCTCTCGAACGGCAGCACCCCCTGTCCCCGGTCTGGGTCTGGCATTCGCCACATCCGCACGATAGAGTTGTGGCTCAGTTTACTGTGGGAAGGACAATTTATCAGTTTCTTCATGCTCCAGTCTTTGACTGACAAGTGTTGACCACCTTACCATTCAGAGGTTACACTTGAGACTATGTCATAGGTTAAGAACACAACAATTCAGTATGACTGTAGTTATAGGCAAGTGCCTATGCTACAACTGAGTGACATTGATTATGGGATTTATATCAAAACAGAGTGAACAACAAAAAACAGTCATTGCAGACCTGGAAGAGTCAAGAAGTTAAAAAACTTTTATTTAACTATCAATGTCCCTAGGAGATACACATGTTCTTGCAAACACACACACAAACACACAGAAAACAAACTATCAGTACACAAAGGTAATCAGGCTGTCTGGCATTTAGAGGAGAGTTGAGCACACATACTTCATGTCCTGTGGAGTGAGGAAGATGAACTGTCTGTAGCGGTGATCGTGGGCCACCTTCATCATCATGTCCATACTGATGCGCCGGTTCACCATGTCCTGTACAAGGGGGAACATCACAGGCTTAACCTTCAGCACACTTCAGCTACCAATACTCTACTGGTTGGGCTAAATTCTCTATTGATTATGGGGTTAGCATAATCAATGGGGTAGCAGTGAGAAAGTTAACTTGCATGTCCCTGGACTAACTTCAACATCTAATTGCCATTTACCTTGTTGGTTAAAATCAGATAAGAGGTGGGTCAATTTATATTCTAAACTCTACATAAGGAAACGTAAGTGCAACACATTAGGAAGATGCTCCTCACCATGAAGACATCAAACTCGTCCAGACAGCGGAAGGGGGACTCCATGGCGTCCCACAGGGCCAGGATGAAACACACGGTGGAGAAGGAGCGCTCCCCGCCAGACAGGGCACGCATGTCCTTCGTCACCTGTCGGTTACTTTCACTCGGCTGCACCTGAGTAATATATGTATGTGTGGGGTCATCTTAGTGGACTTCATGTTTTGTTCGTTGTTGTAAATTTCTTGCTGCAGCTGATTCTGTCTCACTCAAGGCAACAGACATACATACATATAGTAGGAAATTGAAGACATGAAATGATATGACCTTTTCTGGGACATCTGACCTAACTTCCTGTGAGAGTTCCAACATGTCTAGCATATGTAGAAATAACTACAGAGACAAAGGCAAACACACAAACAGAGACTCTGAAAACAAAACCTCTGTACACAGAGGTAATAGAGCACCTACACAGTAGTAACTACACTGTATCTGCTTGCATGCATAACTGTATACATTGTTTCTATTGTACAAAACAACTTTTGTAATGTTTGAAGTGACCTCTAATCTTGAGCCACTGTTGCGTACGGTGAAATTTTTTTCTCAATATACATATACAGGTACTCTATATTTTCTCACATACTTCTAGTGAGAGGGTGCGCCCTCTGTGGTCAAACTTCATCTTGCCAGCGAAGCCTCTCTGGTGCAGCATGTTGATGAAGAACTGGTTGGAGCGCAGAGCCAGCATTCGGCGGAACTCCTTGTACAGCTGCTGCCGCTGCCCCATGATTTCATCCAGAATCTGGCAACAGCGGACAAACAGAGTCAAACATCTACATTATACAATACAGCAAAAGGGTAGATGTAGAACATACTCACTCGGATTGATAAATCAAGGCTTTCCAAAGAATGAGATGATCACCAGCCAAAGACAGCAAACAAGTCCTATAAACGTGTACCTTACAGTCATACTTTGCTTTTATGTCATGTAACTGATTAACTGTTAGCACAGTGCTACCAATTTTCATGGCATGATCACTGAAACATGCTCCATTCTTTGCAGAACGTAAACAGAAGAATAGTTAACACTATACACCTTGAGAAACCTCTTGAGATCCTTAATCTGATCCTTGATGGTCCAAAACTGTTCTCTGGATTCATAGTAGTCTCTTGTCACCTCTTCTCTATTGCCACGCCTTTCAACAGAAATAACAATGAAAGTACATTTTAGCAGGGACTTAATTATGTGGCAGAGGGGGAGAGGACATTTTCACTACATGTTTGAAGTTGGCGGTTGAAACAATCCTATGGTAAGTAGTAATACACTGGAAACACATCACAGTGCCATGTATACACTAGGGAGAGGTCACTTTCAAAATAAAAGCAATGCAAACATTAAAAGATTTACAGTATATCTACAGCAGTTTGCTGATCTTTCGGCCATGGTTAACTAAGATCGAAAATATGATACACTTCTGATGCACAGAAAGCACAACTCACTTGACTTCCTCCTGGGCGATCCTCTTGTTAATCTGAATAATCTCGTTCTCAATGTTCTTGGCTGTCCGTCGCACCTTCAGCCTCTCTGGGCAGATCTGTAAGGCTTTACCTGTCTCTTCCTAAAAACAGAAGAGAAGGTCCGTCAGGGTTGTTATGTTCAACTTTAAGTTTTACAAGAGGTTGTAAATGTATCTTGAACTCCCAAGTCTGAAGACGCCATACTTACCTCCACTTTCTTAGCGTGTTTATCATGGTCCTTCTGCATGTCAGCAATCTTCTTCAAGTGTTCCTTGTGCTTCTGCTCGTAGTGTTTCCTGTGCTGCTTAGCTTGGGATATCTCAATATCTGCCCTGCCAAGGTCATCCTAGAACAAGATGAAGTTTGAAACAATGTTAACCTAATTATGTGAAATATTTAGCCTTACAGTTACAGGGGGCAAATACATGTACAATTATTTCCACTAGCATGTGGAAATAACTACACAAACAGAAGTAACTACACAGAACGACACACTGAAAACAAATCTCTGAACGACACACTGAAAACAAATCTCTGTACATGGAGGTAAAAAAATGTCTCATGCCTTTAGGGGATCTGCACTATCTGCCAGCTCCCTGATCTGTTGGTCGATCTGGTGGTAAGCCTCCTCTGCCACGGCCAGGTCATCCTTCTGGCCGTTGAAGTCAGTCTCGATGGTCTTTATATTGTCCTCCAGATTCCCAATCTGCTCATCATACATCATCACTTCCTCCTCCTGACAGACACAGGGGAAACACATGTTTTCATTAAGGGCCTGGTCAAATATGTCATGTCATCAAACTGCAATCGTACAGTTGCAAACTTAGGATCTGCATGTGTCCTGAAACATTCAGCTGTCTTTGATCCTTCTTGGCTGTTGGTTCTGTCACAGCGGCATGTTACTAGTATGTCGGAGAGAATATCCTCTGCAACAGGCAAAATTCTGATGCAACGTTGACCAAAAACCCAACGAAAAACGCGAAAATACGGGGTTCTGCGCAGGCGCAGTATGTTCTGCCGACATGCTACCTACATGTACAACAGATGTGGCTGCTTTACTCAAACACAACTTCAGACAAAGGCAATTCTCCATCCTCTTATCCTTTCTCAATGCTTCTTACACCACAGTAAATCATGAATGATGTCTTCTGAATCAGACACCAAGTCACAAAGAAGAAAAAGGCTCAGACTTACCAGGGTTGAAACATCCACTGGAGTGGGCTCCTCCACAGACTGCAAGTCACGGATCTCCTGAGGGGTGGAAAAAGGCACAATTGTACTGATTTTTTCCTTCAGGGTAGGAGGGAAGAGGAGGTATCCACATTGTTTTGAATTTGTTGTTGAAACAACTCTATAGTACTGTATACAAGGGAGACATGCTCCTGATGTCATTAATTTGTGGTGGAAGGGTCACCCAAAAATAAAACCACTACGAAAGATTAACAATACAATGTATTTGAATGTGTATAAACTGTAGATACAAAATCTCCATACATTCTTAATGGTATTTTATAACCATATGACGTACATATTGTATTTTGTTGATGCTCTCCTGAGTCTTCATCTTCTGTGTCTGGTGCCGGCGCTGCTCCTGCTGGTTCTTGCGGATGTCCAGATCCAGTTCCGCCAGCTGCTGCCGGAGGGCGCTGCCTTCCTGCTGGAGACGCTGCAGGGTCTGCTGAGTCTCTCTGGGTGGGGACACAATAATGATGAAAAATTTCTTCTTAATGTCAAGATTTGGCCCTTTATCTACTTTTTTTACAACAAAAATGACAAAAATTATTACTACACTGTCATCATTATATCAACACCATGTAGATTAATATCCCCTTTGTAGAGACTGCAGCTTCTGATTGACTGAATTTTTGACAGAACACTAAAATTCCTTTTTTGCTTTGTGTGTTTTATTGACTTTTCAATCATACTTTTGCATTTTGCATCATATTCAAACAATCAAGGGTTACACAAATCCAACTTTGGTTACTCGGAGATCACCGCCTGGTAGAAAGGGGGCATAAGTGAAACCTGAAATCCCCAGATGCTGCTATGCTTTAACATCACAAAACTGATTTGGTGAAAACAAATATATAATTTAACAACTGCACAACTCACTGTACTTCCTCCTCGATGCTGACCCTGAGGAAGGAGGACTTGTCAGTGTTGGAGGAGTAGTATCTGTTGGTGTAGACCTGGTCCCCCATGGCTGTGAAGGCCTCATTACAGTTCCTGGGAGGCCGCTGCACCTGCATCACCTGACGGGCCTCCCTGTTGTCCTTGATCATCAGGACACACTCGATCTTCCGCTGGGGTGGGGACAGGAATGACATTAGAAATAACAGTTACAAGAACTGAAAGACCTCATACCTTGAAAAGGTTTTATGAATACTTCTTTATTCATTATATGAATTTCTCACTGATTCTGTCTATGCATCTTACCACTGGCTCCCATAAGGCAATATATATGTAGCAGGAAACTGAAGACAGGAAATGAGGAAACCTTTTCTGGGACCTTTGACCTAACTTCCTGTCAGTGTCCCAACTTGCATATTGCATGTAAAAATTACTACAGAAACACAAGGAAACACACAGTAGCCTGTTACTGACTAGAGTTTATTGCAGGTGGTAAGCAAATATGTACGATTATGTAAAAATAAAAAAGAAACTATTTCAACTGTTGTAGTACCTGATCTATAAGGAAGTTAGAGACAACAGGGTCTTCTATCTCCAGAACGTCCAGCACAGAAGGGTAGTCAGGGTGCTGGACTCGGTTGGCACTCACATCATAAGGACGCTCCTGGGAACAGAGGACAAGAATCTTTGAATGGACATGTTCTTTAAATGTTCTCAGTATTTTTGCAGCTTTTTCCACGAAATTGGAACACCGTGAATATGATTCTCCAATGTATTATACTACTGGGCTACAGAATTATTTCAACCACAAACTTCAGAATAAATGTATTCACAACAAACTTCTTGTGGCACATCTCTGACTCACGTGGAAGCGACTGATGATGATGGGGGGACGTTTCCCTTCCGGACAGACACCCCGCATGATGCGCTCCAGCACCTTCTCGTCGTGGTGATCGTTCGCACAGAAGGCAAACATCAGAGTCTTCAGACAGCTCTCCACAGCCAGGGCCAGCTCCTGGTCACGCAGACTGATACAGCTGCCTGGGAGGGGGGAGGAGTTATACAGTCATATTTAAACAAGACATGAAACACCCCCTTGTGAATTTCATGTTTTATTCATTATAATTGTAAATTTCTCACTTATCATGTACATACACTATTTCACTATCTGTTCCTCTCGGCCTGTGGGGAGACCATTTTGCCCTCTGAATCAACCTTCCTGTCAGGCTGTGGTTACACCATTCCCCTTACTTCCTGTGACTCTACTGTATTCAAATAAACAAACATACTACGTACATAGTAATAATAACAATTATCAAATACTAAAGCCATTTTTAAAGCATATTCAAAACTTGAGAAGGACTATCTAAGTGTAAATACTGACCCAGTGGGCCGCGAGGTTTCTGGTGGAACCTGCCCTGCTGGTAGGCCTGGTTGATCTGGCGGACCAGGTCAGGCATGAAGCTGCCGAAGCGCTTGAGACTGTTGTTCCTGCTGGACTGGAGGTCCTGTAGGCGGCGCTGCTGCTGACGCGTGTTGTTCTGGATATCCTGCTCATCTCGCCTGCAGGACGATAATACACACAGTATAGTGAAGGGTTCACATAACAGACTTTAACAAAACGTCTTCAGTCAACTCCTACAGTGGACAGGACAATGTCTTTTGCCTTCATATTTTAGGGATCAAGCATGGTGCAGCTTTTGTTGAGTCTATATAATAAATGTGCATTTCCCTGTTGAATCAAACTAGCCAAGATGATACCATCTTGCCTTATTAGTTTATCTATTCCATTGAAGTATAAGGCGGCAATAATACTGTAGAGATCAATCTTTCTTTTTGCCCAATATTTGACATGCTTCCACATTTCATACATGCAAGTTCACACACAAAAAGACCTTATACAGAGTTCTCTCCTCAGTAGTATATATCCCAGCCTTACTTGAGACTGTAGAGTTGTTCCTTGTAGTGACTGACAGCCTGTGCAAACTGTTCGATCTGGTGGTCGGTGGTGGTCTGCTGTGCCTGGAGTTCCTGCAGCTGCTCCTGTAACATCCTGATCTGTTCCTCCCTGGCACGGCGCTCAGCTTCATAGTCCTGCTCCACACTGGGGAGGGACAACAGACCAGCAGGTTAACAACAGTCAACCCTCACGTAATCTCTGGCCTAACACTGAGACTTCTAAGTACCTAATGGCTGTACCTTTACCTGTACCTGAACAAAATCAAATTTGTTTGGGTACACAGCTCTATTGAGACTACAAAGTAGACCAGTTCTTTACTGGTGTCTTAACTAAAAAGTACATTTCTAATGTCATGTTTTTAACACTACCTATAAGGTTTTGAGTGCCAGTGTGGTACAACACTTAAATTCAATACAAAACTTATTTGCTCTATCTACAGCTTACAGAGGTCCCTCTGACAACACAACCTTTCTCTTTTCTATGTGAAATTTAATGTTTCTACCTGCAAAAGCTACTGTACCCTAGATTACATATTATCTAAATTACTGCAGGGATAAAATCTTTAAAACCATTACTGTGTATCATCTCTAAGAATAGTTGTATCTTCATAATGCATAAGGCAAAGATACGGCAAACATAGCTAGAAGACGTACCTGTTTCTCATTTCATCAATCCGTTCCATCACCTGTTCTCTGTCCCTCTTGGTTGTCTTGAGCTGGTTGAGGACCTTCCTGTGCTCTGCCTGGGTTTTCTTGCAGACGTCCTTCTTGAGCTTGAGGTTGGCCTTGGCCTGCTCGTTCTGCGGGCTGAGAGCCTCCACCTTTACGGCCAGATCCTGCAGTTTGTGCTGGATGTCCTGGTGTTTGGCCTCCGCAGCGTCCACTTTTTTCTACGGAAAGGTAAGAAACATTTTTTTACGTTAAAGACATTACATTATATTTCAAAGATGACAATTTTTGCAATCAAGCACTTGGAAAAAAACACTTACTTTTGTTTTGAGATTGTAATATGCAAACTCTCATATGCAAACAAAAATTTTCCATTAAATATTACGGTTTGCAGATACACGTACATGTACAGGTCTGAAGTACCTAAACCACTGTACCTGTGTACCTAAAATAATCACTTTACTGAAATGCTGTTTTGTCTCGTAGAGAATCCTACTTCACAACAAAACAGCAGAAAGCTTACAAACTCACCATGGACTCTTGCACCTTCTGGTCGTACTTTGGTGTCCTTGCCTCTTCTTGTTTGATAGTTTTAGCAAGGGGCTCCAGTTGCTATGTACGAAATAATACAAGAGAACTGAAGATTAGAAAGATTAATACCATAACTCAGTTAAGAATTCCAAATTCATGATCACTTTTAGTTTTACACTTTCTCTCTTACAGAATAAGAAGAGTGAAAGGAAGATTCCTCTGTGGCCTACTCACCTTCTCCAGTTCGTGGACCTGTGCCCAGGCGTACATGTTCTTCAGCCCGTCCACCTTCTTCTCCAGCTCCTGTAGGGTGGCCAGGTCCTTAAACCGCTGCTCCTTCTCCGACACGATCTTCTCCAGCTGGGGCACCGTCTGACACAGACCACAGACTTTTAGTCAAGGATTCACAACTCACAGTAATCAACAATAGTGGGTGCATTCAACACATAATAAAATTAAACTTTCATCCTAAATCTACATGAGCAGCCCACCTCCTCCTTTGTCCTGAGAGTTGCCTGGATCTCCTCACGCTGCTCCTGGATGGTGCTGTAGTCACTGCTCATCTGCTCCAGCTGGGTGGCCTTCAGGAAGAACTAAGACGGAAAAGACAGTCATTGTTTACCAAACTACCATCCAGCCACAAACAAGTGAAAAAGGATAAAAGTTAAACTGCACAGTTAGGTATTCCAGCTAGTGTTATGGAGACACAGTGTATTTATTGTCTACATGAAGATTTCTGTCCATTCCACATGCCTAGCATGTGGAAATAACTTCGGAAACACACAAATGAACCCAACGAAAATAAAACCTCTATATGCGGAGGTAAGAAGTCATAACAGAAGTTTCCACCTTGTACTTGTCGGAGGGGTTCCTGGAGTGGAGGAAGTTCCTGCTGGTGTCCTGGTTCAGGATGGAGACAGGGTTGTCCACCTGGATGTTAAAGTGGTCCAACACGTGGCTCAGCTCATCACGCTTGGTGGAAATAGTTTTACCTGGGGGTGGGGAGAAAACAAGTCTGCATGAACTTCATATGCAGGTGGAGCTGTGTACATAAACTAGTTTTAGGTACCGGTTCACAGATTTAGGTAAAGGTCCAAACCTGTACCTACATGTGTGAACAAGTTTGGCCAATTGCTAAGTTATATATGTAGCCAACTGTCTTTTTTAGTTGTAAGTGGCTGTTCTTGCATGAGGGTTTACATATTTGAATATAACAAGTACAGGTTTTCCTGATTGTCAAGTGCTTACTTGTCAAAACTGTCGTCTTTGAGATCTGATGCAATTTACCTGTATTTATCTTTCATAGAAAAATGATGTCTACTTGTGTTTTACATTGTTCAGGTACTGATATTGGTTGCACAGCAATACCACTCACCTCTGATGCTTTTCAGCCTGTATGACGTGGCGCCGTCCTGGGTCAGCCTGCGCTCCACGATCACGGCGTCCCCGTACTCGTCGGGTTTGTACGCCTCCATGCCGCGGTTCCTGATCCGGATGGCCACCTCCGCAGCATTCTGCCCGTGCTTGATGAAGCTCTTGATGCTCTTCCCGCGGTCGGTGATGGTGGCCTTCCCTCCCAGCCCCACCACCAGTCCTGTCAGAACAGCACTCTTCCCACCTGCAAGTACACACAGCACAGTCAGCTTTGTCAAGAGACAATTGCTTCAAGTGTTCAAATTACAAACCTTACCACTTTTTGAAGGTACATTATATTTTCTCTTCATCATGGATTGTTCTATATCAGCAGGTACAGATATCATGTTAATAAAAGTATGTGAATGTTAACTCCACTTACTTCCGTTCTTTCCCACCACAAAGTTGACATTGGGTCCGAACTTGAACTCCAGACGACTGTGGCACATGAAGTTCTTCAGAGATATGGCTTCGATGATGCCATACTCAGCCTCTCTCTGAAATGTTCAAAAATAGCATACTAAGTAACAAAATGGTATGAATTTCTCACTGCTTCTGTCTGTAGATGCATTTTGCCCACTGCCTTCCATAAGGCAACTGACACACATATCAAGATATGGCAAGACAGGAAACCTTTTCTCTCAACTTTGACTTAACTTCCAGTCAGTGTCCCCAAGGTGCCAAGCATGTCAAAATAACTAGCTTATAGTAACACAAGCAAACAAACAAACAAACAGACAGATACACTGAAGACAAAACCTCAATACTATACCACTCTTACCATCTCATTAGGATGCATGAGGTTAGGATCCCCCTGGGTCAGGTTCATGACACTTTCCTCACCATCCTCCTCCTCCCTCTCCATCTTGGGTACCACCTCCTCATCCTGTCCGGACTGGGCACGGGCACGTTTGGACGTGGACGGCTGGTCCACTTCTGTGTTACTGCCCTTCCTTTTTGCCATCCTGCTGGTCAGAGGGAAACTCAGGTCATCAGTTATGTAACTTTCATGACAAGGAAATGAAGATCTCCTGCTTCTGTGAAATAGTTGAGAATTTCCTGTTTTATTCATTCTTGTGAATTTATAGCAACTCTGTGCTGTATGACCGAGGATGTTCTACCTTGGTAAGACCATGGCGCTCTCTTTTACCTCCATGGTAAGACAAATCTGTATCGAAGTAAGGTGTGTTTACGGTCACTTGACAACTAGCCATGAAACAATCATGTTTTGTTTTTATGTGTACGTGGTCATTAATAACAATGAACTCTCATGCACTATTCATGACTCTGCTTATCAAAACAACACCTTGTGTTACCAGTGAAAGCCAAGGGACAACTGAAAGTTTACAATGTCGATAGCTAGTGCATATTTGTGTAGTGTCGGTGCGGATATAATTTCTGAAGGTGTGAGTTATGCTACTGGCATATCGTTCCCATCTTGTGATGCTGTTTATTTACAGAGAATTTTTTGCCTGAGTTGTCAGTCATGGTCCAGTTGAAATCTCACATTCACATCTGCAGCCAATTAGTACGCCGCCCTCCCACCGAGTGGTAAATACCGCGAAGCAAGAGTTTTCTGAAGGTTTCCATGTGATCTGCGTTGGCAAACTGTGCTACAAAGTGCCTTTTGCGAGGCTGGTGTGAACTAAAAGGTTATAACGTTAGTAACTTATAAGGTCTTATAAGAATATAGAAGCGACACCGGTTCTCGAAACCTTGTTTTGATTCCATGTCTGTGGGGATTTTCGTACCTAAACTCACATAACGGGACCAATATACCACTGTACAAGAATAAGAGAGCCATATAAGATAGTACTGACGGATATGTGAGGAAAAACTGAATGAAACGTACCTGCGACAGCCAACAAACCAAGAGGAGGGTGGACACAAGCCTGGACCCGTCTGAACAGAAAATGGCGCGAATCCTTGACGGTAATGACGTCAGGAAAACAGCTGTGGCTTCGAACGCCTCCTAGTGAAGTTATCAATAACTGCAACTACATCTAATCACAGGTACTAAGTTCATCCAAGGAAAAGCTCCTTGGCTCATCCAACTCTTCTACCTCCATGGTTCATCAAAACATTAAGTTTAGACCGTTTACTAGTACATGTAATTAAGAAAGCTGCAGAGATTCGGCAGCGACGTGGAAACAGCGATAAACCCCCCACTCACTGTTACAATCTTGCCTGTAGAATTTAACGTTATATTCAGAGTTCAGATTTTGACTGATGGTGCAAACATGGTAAGTTACATGTATTTCACACAATCAAATGAGCTGTAATCCATTGTGTGATGTGCAGTAATTCAACCTTGTACTTTTCTCTGATCAGACAGCACAGATATTAAATACACTCTGAAATATGTATACCATACGTATAACGTTATGGTATTTCTTGCATAATGATGGAGGCCAGAAATTAATGCAAAGCACACTCAGTTCATCAGCATACATGTAGATATAATGTGGGCATGTCCATTGCAAAACATAAGAAATCTATATATTTGTTTCAAACAGGTGGTATTCATGTGTCCTAATGATCAGGTGGTTCTTTAATTACAAACAAGTGGCTCCAGAGAGCCAGTCACATACTATATCAAATTAAGAAGCACTGGTTCATATATGATGTATGCATGTTGTGCACAGGAAGTTATTATATTACAAGAACATTTCCAAGCTGGAAATTTACAATTCTACAGCAACTAAATAGGCCTTGTGTTTGTTAAGTCTTGAACCAAAATCTGCAGAAATACGAATGCATTTAAATGGCTGCATGCATGACATAAAATGGGCATAACATACATATACAGGAAACATTGTGTTGGTACAATTTCAGAGAAGCATGAAAGAGGTGGTTAGAAAATCAATTGAGGGCTGAGCAGTTGGTCAAGTACAGTTGGTGCACTTTTAAGTCTCATCACATCTTACAAACAAATCAACACATTAGACCATGTGCATAAAGTCCTAGTCTCCGATGTGATGTACATTTTTGTACTTGATCAAAAAAGTCATGGCTTCTTTTCTCCTAGGTTCTTAAATCCATAACATTGCCAAAGCCTGTGCTACTCTCTTAACACAGAGTACCTGGACTTAAAACTAGCCCTAGTAAAATAACATGGAATTTCAGATGTAAAGTACATGGCTAACATTATACAGGGCAAAGGTCTTTAAAAAATCACCACCTCGACACAGACAGACAGGACTTGAAGAACATTGCATAAAGGACTAACATACAGAACCAAGTCCTTATACTGGTACAATTAGTACAGGGATGTAAAGTTAAATAGCAGCAGTAGAGTAAAATACCTATAGATGACACTGCAAAAATAGTAAAATCAATGACAGTTCCTATCTACATGTACATAGCTGAAGCCAGGTCACTTAACATGGCACAGGTGGAGACCACACTTCTTCCTGATAAGGTATCAATGCCCTGCTCTCTTAGTTATCATTTCAACACACATGAAGTTTCTGATACATTTCATGGATCTTAAATCATTTTTTTCATACTTCCAAGAGTTAGTCATGTCACTTTGGGCTGTCAGAGAAAATGAGGCATTGACCAACAAAGAAATTCAGCACATTGGTTTGAAAGAAGTTATCCTCACATTGAAGGGTATGGTCTTTTTTTCATTTAACTTTTTTAATAGTCTATATACTAGTAGCAGAATTGAGAATACCAGGTAGTCAGAATACCTGGTAGTCCTTGGTTGGGATGTAAGATTATGTGGACCATTATCTTAATAGAATTTATATCTCAAAATAAAAAAAAACACATCCCATAGCATCCTCTTTGGTGTCCTTGCATTATCTTTTTTATTTTTGATGAGCCAATATGAAAATTAAAGCTTTGATATTCAGGAACAACTTTCACTGTTTTAACTCAGGCAAAGGTATATCACAAATACTATGACTGTAGCTTCAACCCAATGTGACATCTTACAAAGGTCCTGTAGCACTTTTTAGTGGCCACCTAAAATGTAGTTGTACATACATCAGTATCATCCCATGAATTAGTTACAAAATAATGCAAACATTCTAAAAACAAATGTTTACACATTTAAACTTTTAAAAACACAGCTGTTTTTCTAGGGGGATCTGTCAGTGTAATCCATACAGGGAGTGGAGATTGGATAAGCTTGCTTCATAAAACTTTTCATGATCATGTATATATGGTCATAAGGTGAAAAGAACGATATATTTCCATAACCAGTAAATGACTTCACAAGTTGTCGCCGAGAAGTAAAGGAAACTGTGACAAAACTGGATCTCCTGAGTGCCAACTTACCATCCCCCCCCATACCACCCTCATATGGGATTAACACTGACAAATGCAGCCAACCATCCTAACACAAGTGGCCTTGTCTACCTAGGGTTCATTAGTAATCAATCAGTCACCACATACATACAGCATATCAAAATATCATCTTTACACAAGAAAGGAAGATTTCTCTTCTCCTTACTATCTATATCCCTCCTTGTGAGAAACCTCATGTTTTACAATCTCATTGTCAAGGATGTTGCATTCATTTTTTTAACATTTACACTTTGGACAAAAATGGTCCCAGGGACAGGCCAACAACCCAGAGTCCTTCTTAAGACTTTGTTTCCACCTTACCCTAAAATGTGATGTGGAATAGTCCAAACTTGATGTGCTTTTTGTAAAACTGCAATAATTTGTACCATATAGTGTGATACTCCAAAGCACTCTTTCTTTGTTATGACAGAATTGGTACTTAATAAATCCCGTGAAATTGGCAAACTGCTTGGAAAAAAATTTATGTAAACACTTGGACGGAAAGGACCACAAAGTGTCAGGCTTACCTGCCATTTTTCAACACTGTGTATTCATGAACAAGAAAACAAAACTGCCAATCAAAATACCCCCACTACAACCAGGGTCATGTGTTTTGAAAATCACCAGAAATTTGCCATTAGTGGAATGTCTCCATTTGGAACTACATGTATCAATGCAAATGCATAATTTGAAAATTCATCTGGTTAAGAAAGTGCATCATTTGGTCCTAAAATTTTCCTCAGTATAGTTACTTCAAACAAAAAGAAGACTTTTAGAATTTTCCATCTTCCTATCAGCTTGATAAAAGTCACGACGTCATAGGTTAGTTATTGAGGATAATCTCTCAAAACATTGTTTTGTTTTGTTATTGTTTGGGGGCCTGTTGTTTCATGTTATTGATCTCAAGGCTCAAATGGGTCTACCTTTCTGTCCATCATGCCACCATAATAACTGGGAAAGATGTGGAGAGATAGGTGTGGTTCTTGTACTGCAGTATCTGGGTCCACCATGAAATCACCTGTACCAGACTGGTAAGGCTTCTCTCAACACATCCTAAAGTCACTTTTGTTCATACAATAAACCTAACGTACAAACTTAACTGGTCCCAATGCTGCTTGAACACAGCTTCAAAGTCTGATTTACACCTGAATAACTACTGACTTTTCATTCATGTGGAATGTACAATCAATTCAAATAAAAAATAACTGTTTTTATGAATGTAATCAAAGAATTAGACATTACAAGATGACTGTATAATAAGTACATTGTACAAAATGTGGGACAACTGCACTTTTGTTTTATAGTTGCATAATAAAAGGTCCTCACAAAAACTCTCACAGCAACTAGTATTAAGCTTACAGCACATGTACAAAAGCTTGGTATGCAAATGTTGCAGCCTTGTTCCTTGAGAAGCCTTTTAGGAGCCCAATATTCTTGGATATATTTTGTACACAGAGGTCTCTCTGGAAAATAAGAATCCAATTATCCAATTATCTGATCTGAATGCAGCATTGAATATGACGGGCCTGTGTGTGGGAGGGGGGTACAGGGCATCACAACAGCTGGCACTTCCCCAGCATGGAGAGGGGGTTCTTCTTCCCGTGGGTTCTGCGCTTGTTGGGGCCCGACAGCTGGATGGTCCCATTGTCCTCCTTCTTCTTTGTTGAGGAGTTGGCATTGCTAGTCACAGTGTTGAACATGCCTGTGGGATTGAAGGGATGGAAGAGGATGCGGATACAATAATCTATCATTTTTTTGCAACAAAATGATATAAAACATCTACATGTACTTCCTTTCCTCCAGTCCTGTCTTGTCCTCCTTACTCTCTTCTCACTTCCTAGCTCTCTTTGATTCCCTTAACATGTACATACATGTATATTTTCAGTGTACCCCCTTTCCTTCCCTTCTTCATAGTCATTATTTTTTTGATTAAACAGATATTTGAAGTTAATCTTGTACTTAATCCCATCTTCATGTCTGAGGGTCAGAGTCTGCACTGATCTATGGTTACAATGTATATGTACATGTATTAATATTAAATTTCTAAACTTCCATCTTTCAAGACTTCCAAACATAAAGTGACCACTGTCTTTCCCCCTTTCCCAATCTCTTCTTCCCACACCCAATTTCCTCCTCTTGTCTGCCTTTCCCTGCAAAACACTTCAACTCATACATTACTTTCTCCCCCCACCCCACAACCCCCACCCCCACCACCCTCACCCCTCCAATGTTCAGGACGTACCGATCTTGGGCTGGTTGGTCTGTGGCTCCTCCTCCACCATGGCCTGGACCCTCTCCAGGTACTTGTCAGCCAGATACCTGAATACTGGAAAAAGGATGCAGAAACATTGACATGGACTCAGCCATTCAGCACAGAACTGTGTCGCTTTTCAAGACTGAGAAGTACTGATCTTCTGATGCCCTGTTACATCTTCCTGACAAGAGGGATCTACGATGATCAACTGTTGTCACCTGTTAAGTATTTCAACTGGGCAATATTACTGTGTGTTCTTCTGTTTGTCTGCTATCACATTGTTACCACTGTGTTTTCCTTAAATTGTTATCAAACAACAATTAGTTGTTGAATTAGTCCTTATCAAGTGTTCAGTCTACAATGTAGTATATTCAGCCCAGAAAACCAGCCTCTACTGCCTCTTGAGACAAGATATGAGATAACATGGTTGTAAAGCAATATTGGAACAGACAAGAGGTAAGCAGTAAATGACTGTCAACATTTGTAGACAAGCACCAATTTCTGTCCCATTTAATCTGCAATATCGTCTTACTTACCGTCGTCAACATTAAGATTATCCTTGACAGATGTCCGGTAAAACCTAAGTTTGAGCTTTTTTGCTAAGGTGTCTGCTTCTTCCCTGCAAGAAATAAACAAACACACGTCACCTCCAGCTAAACTGTATCATCTCAAAATTTGCAATAATCACAACCATGATTCATAATAATTCTCAAAACATTTCATTGTAGATTCTCAACGTGGTCAACAGAACTAGAGTGTACATCTTGCTAAATACTAAACAGTAGCATGGATACCAGCCTTGTTAGTTTTAGTATGATCTCTTGGTCACTTCCCTTCCAAAAATTAGAGTCTTGTACATACATGTATTCTATCTGTCTGGTCCGGTCCTTTTGGCAGGGAAGTGACAGATAGAGCATACTAAAGTAAAGCTAGAAAAAAGCTGGCATACTGGCTAGCTAAACAGCCCCGTGTCCAAATCTGCATGGTCTAGTGAGCCCTGACATTTCTAAAATTAAACCAGCCTTACATCTAACAGCCAATCCTACTTACGTCTCTACTTTGGCATCCTCTAGCAGGTCGATCTTGTTCTGTACAAGAACCGTAGGGATGTCGCCACACTCGTCCTCTACCTTCCCCTTCCAGGACTCTATCGCCTCGAAGGACTGGCGGTCTGTTGTGGAGAAGACTAGCACACATGCCTGAGCACCTGAGGAAGAGGGGGAAAAATCAGAAATTTCAGACTTCCTGGAAGAATGCAATCCTTGTCTTCCCACATGTCAACCTTTTAATTCCTGCTGGCTCCCTCCCAGATTTTGCCAGACCTTTGACCTCTACCTATTGGCAACTGTATAAGTCCTTTTCATCAGGCCTTGGTGGAAATTTAGGTGTGAAGTTATTTACAGTTTGCTCAGGAGGCCTTTTGTACACCACAGAAGTCCTTCAATCTGAGGTACCCTGCAAACATGTACATGTAGAAGGGCACAACTAATCGCAATGAAAAAAGACATTTCAAATCTACAAAAATGTGATCATGGTTACACCTTCTGCAATAGATTGGAAAAATAATTGGATTTCCAACTTTGTATAATGGTTTGTTCTCTTACACTATGTACTAGCATGAAAACCAACAAGACATTCCCCACCATTTCCACTGGCCGCACATACAGAACAAAACCCTCCTTTAAAAATTAAAGAGGCCTAGGACAGATCTATCTGGCTGAGGAATTAAAATACTGTGTTTTTAAGAGGTTACTTGAATGTTCAAACTTTTCTGATTGACATGAGCTTGAGTTTCTTGATGTTTCATGTACAGAGAGGCCTTCTTACCACACAGGGTCATTTGTACCAAAGCCCTCAGATGTGTATACAGGCTGTGTTAAGTTGTGAATGGGTCAATGGGCCCCTTAAGGTTTAAGTAGGAGAACCTATAGAAGTAACCAAACTGTTATCTGTTAGAAGAGGGGGAAAGTTTGTAATTCTTTTGTAAATGTTCAAGTAATGCACACTGATTTTCACACCATGTTTGGTGGTTTGTTTGCAAAAGCTCTCAGAGGCTCAAAATTCTGGAATGAAAAGAAAAATCAGTGCAGGATGCAAAGAAAGAATTATTGCTTTTTCTCTCTCTTGCAATGTGCTTACAGAAGCAGTAGTGTCTGGTGTTCCACTCGTGTGTGTAACATGATTTTATTGGCTCACAAATAATTCAGGAAGCCGAAGGTTAAGGGCCTCTGATGAAATTTTATGACACCCACGGCCTCTTAAGTCATATTCACTCAGGGCCTGCAGTAGACAGCAGACCTTCATAAAATATTTACAGACGGTTGTGCTAGCCTGCTCGGCCTCGTAAATAAGCGACAAGCTAAGTGATGGGAATATAACATGTCTTATTTTGACTGTACATATGAATTTGGGTGATTTTGATGTTACTCAAAGCAGACACAGTGGTGAGAGTAAGTAATTTAACCTTAGGCCTGCTAAGGTGGCCATTTGGTGCCAAATTTGTATTTTATGGGGTTAGGTAGGAGGTAGAAGGTTAACAGGGTTTGCAGTGACCTGATAAACTTTAAACTGCCTGAGGCAAATTCTTCTGTTGCTGAACATATTAGTATTCAAACAACATGCCTTTCTCCTAGCAACGACTGTTGATACAACATAGCTTCACTCTACACTTCATGCTTGACTTGTTTACATTGTTCAACTTGGCAATAACAACAATAATGAGGGCTGATTTAGCAAAGACATGTCTGTACCTTCATTTTTATTCTTAATACATGAGCTCAGCCTCTTGCCAAATGAATACATTTTGAATATTCACAATTCTAGCAAATTTAATTTCATATCCTACTCTGGTTCGCTATTGAAAATATTAGGCCAAATCAATTAAATTTGTTGGTTCTTGACTGTAAAAAACTAAACTGGAACTGTGGAAGAATGACATGAAAATACAGTCTTGGGAAATGCCTGAACTTTAGTACAGTGCATACAGTTTTTGACAGTAAGCATGGTCACTTGGTCAGATTTACGTTTTTCTCTCAGTCCTCTGTTTTCTACCTCGTCCATCTTTCGAAAATCTTACTTCAGATTCGAATATCCAAAAACCAAGGAAAAATAAATTGGTGTTTCCTAATGTAAGCAGTGTACACAGGAACATACTTGGAGAGACCAGCTACTTACCCTGCAGGACCTGTGCTTTGTTTACCTGGGCAGGTGTGGACAAGAGGAGGACCAGAGGGATTTCATGACAGGGTCAACACACTTCAAAAGGTTTGGGTTTGCTCCCAGAATTCCTTTGATGCTGCAGGGCCCTGACTCTTTCAGTATTCTAATCAGGTTCTCTAACCAATGGCACACCCAGACTTTGGAAGCTTTTCTAGTAATCCCCTTTTTAATGCCATGGCTACAGCCTTGGCTGCAATATTTTCTAAGTGGCAAAAATGCATTCCAAACCAATAATATATGACATTGTTTCTATCAAACAAGCCAATTTATTGTTTTTTCTCTTGAACATGGTCCATGTATACATGAAAACAGTATACATGACAAATATTAGGCGTAGTGTAAACATAAGATATACTATAAATGGATCTACTTTTGCAGTGGTTTTATTTCAAGGTTTGCAGAAAAGGGAGGTTTTCCTGGAGGTTTTCCTAGTTGAAAGAAGTCTTTATATATGAGGTGTCATGATTTCACATAAATAGGACATCACAAAAAATGCAAAAATAATACCACGATGAAATCAAATGCATTTACAGTAAATCAAATCTGTATAACATAGATGATATACACAAATGTCTCACCTCTGTAATATGCTTTAGTGATAGCATCAAACTCTTCCTGACCAGCTGTGTCCCACAGCATTAACCGGATGTCTTCATTGTTCACTCTGAAAAGTCAAGACAAACATGCTATGAACAGAACATAAAGTAAAAATGCCTCTATTTTTGTTCTTTTCCTCTAACTTAGGCTCTAATATTGTCCCATTATGTATGTATGTATTTTGACAAGACTGGATGCTAGTGCCATCTGTTTATACAGCGAATTTGTCTTTTTACTTTGGAAGAAAATGAAATAAATATCATATACAGTCTAGAGAAATGATGAGTTGCTGGCCAGAACACAATATACATGTAACAACATGTACATGTATTTAGCTTTCTTTTTATGTTCAGTGTAACAAATGTTTTGGTTAATTATGTTTACAACACCCCATATTACCTGTGTTACAATATTCTATTATGCTTTATACACTGCATTTTCTATGTGCATACTTCAATCAAAGAATGTTGACAATTTTGCATTGCTGTTAGTCCAGAGAAAATATTTTGCTGAAAAACGTATCACGTTACTTGCCAGCATTAAGATCATTAAAATTTTGTTCCACCAATTTTGTAAAGCATGTATCATTAAAATTCTAGCAGCTTGCAATTTTGTGCTGTGGATGTCTGGAAGCACCATTCAAATGGAAAAGCATCCCTGTGGTTGCAGCTATCTTCCAGCAGTGAGAATACAGCAGGTGTTACTGAACCGTGATCACACAGGTCACATAGCACTGTGAACCCTGCTACCTGGATACCTGAGAATGTTGTTACACAAACTATGCTTGATACATACCTAGTCACTTTGGAAAACAGCTGGGTAAAGTTGCGTAGGAAATTCAATTACAGGCAAATACTATACATCTACATTGTACCAGCAGTTCAGAAAATCTTCTAGTGTATACATGTATATATTATTATTAAGGAGTTCAGGTAGTACTAGTAAACAGGAAAAAAGACCTGTCTAACTTATAATGAAAAATTTACAGATAGATATGCAATTTTACATATTGTAATTATCACTGATATGCCTATGCCTTTGGCTATGAGATTATATTAGTCATAAAGGAAGAAATATGCAAGTAATCTAGACCCAATCAAGCAAACAGTGGAAGGACTGAAGTCCAGCACTAATGACTGACCAAGCTAAATTCTTCATGCGTATTCATTTACTTGTCCTGGCTTACTGACTCAATCAATCATTTGCACCATCACATACCTATAACCAACTGTTACAGCTATGTAGTGCACTACAGTGTGTGATTTTTTAACGATTCATCTGCTTCTTTAACTATCAACCACAAAGATCACATCAACAAATATTCCAAAGATCTTACTCTATTTGTCTTTCTAGGAAGTCCACCCCGATTGTTTTCTTGTAGTCCTTGGTGAAGATGCCTTTACAGTAGCGCTGGATCATGCTGGACTTCCCCACGGCACCATTGCCGACCACGACAACCTTGATGGCTGTCTCTACATCCTCCTCCCGCATGGCTGCTGACCTCACGACTGCACCACGATCCAAGACTTCAGGCTGCACGTCTCATAGCTGGAGAAACAACAACAACTACAAGTTAACAACTACCTGCAGTCTTAAGCTACATGTACATACCTGAGTATCATAAATTACAACTCATAAGTTTGGCTTGAGTTGCCAGATATCTGAAATATTATTATAACATAGTAAAAAAAATCAAAACTGCCCAGGAAGACTACAGTTGTAAAAAATCTACCAGTAGTCTATACATATATGGACGGGCAGTTACTACAGACCGTCACGATTCTTAAGTACATGTTATGCTTAATAATCACTTTTCAATGAATGTAAATTAGAAATTTGTATTAGAAATTAGAATGGAGATTGAGAATCACATTCAACTGCTCAAAGAAGGATATAAAATTGCTGAGAAACTGCCAAGTGTCATTAATGTTTAATGAAGGGCAAACAGTCTTGCTGAGTGGGTAAACGGCCATTACAGGACAAATTTCAAGTCAATGCAGAAAACCTGAGAAAGAAAAGGCTTCTTTATTACTGGTTACAGTTGGACAAGTATAACAAGTTGGACACTTTTGTTAGTTGTGATAGAAAGTAGTACATGTACATTGTACCTGCATACACATAGATAATTGTTGATACAATGGCCCTATCCCTGATTTTAGGGAGCTCAGTGCTTACACTAGGCACAATATTATAGATGACATATTCTTGGTATTAGATGACTAATGTCAAAAACTGCAATAGATAACAGACATCACATAAAACCTGTCTGGAACCCAATTTAGGCAGTGTTTCCGGCTTCCTTCTCATGTACAAGTCCTGTTATTACATCCATGCATCATCTCACCTTCCTGTCAAGTGGAATTTGGAAGGCAGGACGGCAAAATCTTTGGCCTTTCAGCCAAGATAAAAGATCAAATACTAGCCGCAGACAAGCCTGACATTAAGCTCCCTGCACTTGTAAGCCAAGGCTATCTAATCATCTCATATTGCTGCCTCAAACCATCAACATCAATTTTATTTATATTCAAATTTACAGCAGCCCTGTTCAAACCAAAATGGACATCTGCCTTCAGCTGCTCTTTTTCCAAGTTGCCATGACAACCATGGTGGACCTATACAACATCAATGGCATTTTGATAGTTGCCATGGCAATGTGTCCATAATATCATTACGTTACCACAACAGAAACTGATTCTTGGCAACACATCACTATTCAGTGTAGTCAGGAAATGGCAATACGAGATGCTATGGGTACTTTGATCAGTCATTGGGGAAACCAAGGACATTGGGGAAACATAACGTTCGTGTATTTGTAGCATCAAATGGTGGCATCATATCTTATTATTTTTAAACCCATTTTGTGCCTACATATGCATTGACTATGCCATCATTATCTCTCAGACAGTCAGAGTCTGTCTTTGCTTCTTTATTTAATTACTTTTTAATGGCAGCAACTTTACTTCAAGTTCAACATTAGCCTGGTTACCAAACCTAGTAGTATAGCTCCCAAGTCCTACATCCTCTACGCTATTTGCAGAGAGGAGCTAAAATTTATTTGGTAGCCAGGCTAGTTCAACATACATACCTTGACTTTCACACAAGCAATCTTAATCAAACATGGATGCTTTTCATCTTTCTTGGATCAGTAGCTGTTTACACACCATTTTATTTTTTCAGAATATGTGGACATACAATGTATACATACATGTTGTACATCTCACCCCGGTATGACCTGTACCCTCCAGACATGACATCTGGCCTTTGTTCCATATACTATTGTTATTTTAATCTGCTAAAAACACCTTCTACGTTCTACCACCTTCATTCATAGGAAAGTGTCATTATGTGCACGTCTGAGCTATTAGTCAAAACTGTAATGGCAGTCACCTGGCCACTGTGCTCATATTTCTTCAGTCCCTTAAATCCCTCCATTCAATTGGCACCAGCATCACAGATCCATTGGTGGTCACTACAAGTCACTTTCACTTATTGATCTAGGTCTGATGAGCATTATCCGTCTAGTGGTCACCTGTGCACAGTGGCCACTCAATATGTACTCAGTATTTTGGGGATTTGTTATTATTTACATTAAACTTACCAAGATCAAACTGATTACTTTTACAATCTATTTCAACAGTTCCAGCAAACTTTTTCTTCTTCTTCTTTTTTTGTAACAATACTTTTTTATATAAAAACTTCCTATGATGAAATGAAATATAAATACAGCCCAACCCAACCCAACCCAGCCCAGCCTACTGCATCGCACATTGCTTGACTATAGAAATCTAACTTAGCTCCAGGATATAAGGATACTAGTTAATTTCACTGCTCAGTGAGGTTTCTGACCAATGCAGAAGAGTTTGATTCCTACATGTACAGATGGATTAGACACCTAAACTCTAATTTATATAAAGATACAATTTTATCTCTTAGTCTTACTCCTAGATCTATCTATTACATGCATATGTATGACATATTGAAGGCAACTTCATTCACAGACAACACCTAAAAGACCTTTTGGCAACATGATGGACCACTACCTTGCCTCATCATTTGTGTGTATGATATGTAAATTATTATTGATAGCCACTTGCAGAGTATGGCAAGTATGTAAAGCAATTAAGCACACGCAGGAGACCTACAGTGATACCATGCCTGCAAGGTCATCCCTTACAACCTTCCCAAACCAATCTGTACCTGTGAACAGGTTTACACATTGTTGACTCTGCACATATCTCATCAGTCAACTCATACAGAACATGTCCCTGAGAGTGAGACATCCACATAGAGCTTCCTCATTACTGACAATACACACAACTGGGTTAAATTGTCCCCTGGGTCTCTCTGGGAAAATGAGCTACAGACAGACAGAACTACTGACTATAGCGTGTAGGGTCTAGGAAAAAATGTCATGTTTCTGCCAAGAAATTGCATTTGTAGTTCGTACAAAGTCAGTTATACCCTGAGTTATACATAGATAAACTGTACTTGTTGGAACAATTTGTGTTGAAAAGCCCTTTATACCTACTGACCCATTTTTTCAGCACACTAATTGGAAACACAGTACTGATTTTCCTAGACCTTAGTGCCAAAATAATGGGCGCCAAATGAATGTCACATGATGATGGATTGGGTCTAAAATCATTCATGCCTCAGCTTATGTCACATTTTTAGATTCTCAAATTAGATTATCCCAGAACATACTGGAACCATTAGATTACTGATATATAGACATCTAATGAGAAAAATTGATTACAGTATTATGATAGATCTAGTTAAAAAAATGAGATAAATTATTTAAATAAGTTTTGTCTATAACACAGTACATATGGTACATTGATAAAGGCAGACAACGGGAAAGATTTAAAAATGATGAATGAAGAGAATGAATTTAATATAAGCAGAGTAATGAGAAAACTCAGTCAGCAGAAAAAGAAGGCAGAGGACAGAAATCAACCAGTGCAGTTTAAAGATGTTTGAATGATAGAATGTCAAAACACAAAACATATTTCTTCAGCTATGATTCTCTTGTAAGTCCATAATACTAGATACAACATAGCCCAATGTGATATATTACAGACATCACATTGGCTGATTGGCACCTTCCACACTTTTTCTTGACATAAAAGCTGTTGCCATGATGGTATGCACTCTAAAATATCAGATTTCTTTCCGATCACTGGCCCAAATCAGACTACTGTCCAGAGAAGAGATCAGATTCTAGTGCCATAGCATGGTGGCTGACATTGCCAGTGTTGATACTCTACCTTGTTCTTCATTACTCTGTCAATAACTCTTGGTGTCCCCGTTAAGGTGTTAATTTGAGATTCATTAACTTCACCAAACAAAAGCAAGTCCACAGTGGCAAGGCACCTGCCCCCTTCCTATTCACTGGATACAAAATAAAAGAGCTTTCATTACCATCCAACCAATGAATGAGTGTCCTCTTAGAACAAGTTACAGCCAACTCTTATGCAATATAATACTTAGCTCAAGAGAGATAATCCCCTGTACCAAGGCACAAAGTCCCTCTTATACAAATCATAATCATTTAACTGTATACAACAGCCAGTCTTATGGTGTAATATTATGTTACAATTTTTCCTTTTGAGCCATTTTCTTTTGACCAGTCTGACTGCCTAAAACTCTAATTGGCTATTTCTTTTCTCCTGCCATGTTGTTTTTTCTACCAATTTCCTTGTTCAAATGTCATGTCACGACACCTGCTGGTGCAGTTTTCTTTTTTCAATTTTCAGACCCCTCCTCAAAAACACCATACCTCATGGAGGTGGGGAGGAACTGGGTTAAATGTAGATATGAATGACAGCTGGGAGAAACATCTGGAGAAATTTATATTAATAGCATTACAGATCTTCTGTCACATACAAATTAATGTACATTTGAGCAACCATGTATACTCTGACCTCAGATTAAATCTGTATTGAATATCAAATACTACCACAAAAACACAGGGATTACTTAAGGTGTTTATACTATGAGCAAAGGACAATGAGGTCTGTATGTTTGCGTGCTTACTAAGCTACATCTATCAGGTTGATGAGTTCACCTGTGTTATGCCAAACCGCACAGACAGACACATGTATATGGGCGGTAACGCCCTTCATATGGAACTGCTTTTCAGTGCCAATGCCACAATGCCAATATGTGACAGTGTATTGGAAAATTAGTGTTACATGTAAAAGATGAAATACTGGTACAGATCCATGTAGAGTTGATATTCAAAGACAAAACTACCAACACATTGAACTAGATCAACATTTTGTCAGTTGTTTCAAACCTTCGAACATTCACTCTTAATGAGCAGATAACCATTGGGAAACAAATGTAATCACCGCACCACTGTTGTTAGGCTTCCATCGGAAGTACAATACCAGGCCCCACCTATGCTGCAGACGTGGCATCATTTCACCACTGTAACCTTCATTAAGGGATTTGGGACAGATATCTACTGACACCGCTGCTGCCTAGTGAGCACTTGGATGCTCCCAAAATTGGAGCTGTGCTTTTATTCCCAAAAAATGAATTTCAAGCCCTACATACGGATACAATAGTAAGAAGCCATCATTCATTCTATTACACAAAGATCTTATCAAAATCAGTACTGTTCAAAATATGAATCCTGAAATTCAGATGCTGAATTTCCTTCTGATTGTGCCATACTACAAGTTTGCTTTGACCATGCAGGGTTGCAGGAATGTGAATTCAACAGGCTTGTCTCGATCATGATGATGTATTGTTGAAATTAGGAAAAAATGTTGATGGACAGGCTAATGTGATAAGGGAACTGATAACAGATAAGGCAGGGAGAAGCAACAGGATATTGGGAGGGTGGCCATCATCAGCTTATGTTGTATACTGGAATATGAGATATGTAGGGGTGGTAGGGGCACAGTGGTGGTGGTTTGGAATTCCCATTCAGTTGGCCCTTTAAAATCAAACATATCATATATGTATGAAAAGTGCATTTATCATCAATATTGACAAATTGTGAAATTTTGACAAGCAATAAAATACTAGTACGGTCCACAACAAACATGTTTGTTTGCATATGTCCATGACTACTGTATGCCACATCTGATACACTTCCCTGCTATGGTCAACTACAAAATACAGTACTATAATTTGTGGTTTCAATTATGAGCACAACTCAGTTTCAACATGTGCATATGCGTAACGTACATGGAATTTCGGTCACACATGAGTAAAATTTATGCAGAGGTGCACAATGAATTTTATCCAGCCTACTCTATCACTATGGCATAAGTTGCGGTAAACTGTTCTAATCCCTGTGATAATGATTGACCATCTCCCTTACATCCTAATCCATCATTTGGCACTGGGCAACTGGTCGACCGTCTGCATAACGAATCAATCTGTTATTGTTTCTTTGGGAACGGAAAACGTGACTAGTAATAATGCCAAGCGAGGCTGCACCGATAGTTAATCAGTACTTTTGCCATCTGCTAGAAATGGCACGTATTCCTCGCTAATAGACTGGATTTCTGATCACGATTCACTTCGTCACTGTCAGTAGTTAGCAGGAAAACTTCACGACAGGGACGGATAAAAAAGAGATTTGAGTTTGGGCGTCAGGAGGAAATAATTCTTCCTGGTATTCGGGTAAACAAAGCCTGGTCACAACGTTTGGGTGTGATTGAGGACATGTGCGTTGCTTTATACTAACAGAGTACAGATACAAGCACAACGACAGGGCGAAGCGACACTTACCAGATGAAAGATATTCTGCAAACTTCCGTCACGGTCTGTTGCGAGACGCAGGTCTTCCTCAACTCAAGTCCGACCGAGAGACCGCGGACGGGCACTGACAACTTCGTCCACACTTTGCCGGTTCCAGTTCTCTCTTCTCCGGACAAAACTTTCGCTAGAACTACGCTAAATACTCTCTCCTCTATCTAAAGTAAGGCTGGGAATGTGAAAGTGGTCTGAAAGGCTACCAACGGCGCGACAAACGAGTTAGAAACGCTGAGGATCTGCTTGACTTCCCTCCTCACGATCTGAATTTTTCTTGGTGTACCTAAAATCACGTGACTAACACTAAGGGCCGCTCGGATTCGGACTGTCGCACTTGTTATGAGGTGATGTCCTTTTTACAACAGAAAAACACTTTACAAACGTCTTATCTTGTAAAATCGGATAGACTAAAACACATAAATTTCTATATTACGATAAACATTAGAATGTCAACAATTTCTATATTGTGTATGACCAAAAACAGCAAGTTTAATGTGTCCCTTCCCATGAAATAGTGGCTTATTCTGAGGGTGGTGCGTAATCTCGCGATTCACGAGATTCAGCGTGATCTTCACTTGGTGCATGCGCTGCAGGGACTTCAATTTTTCGCAAATTTTGAAAAGTCAGCCAGCATGCCGGTGTATAAAGGTGGGTTTTTGAGGTGTTTGAAAAAATTGCTGAAGGGTGTCCTGTCGGGAAGAATACGAAGGAATGGAGGAAATTTTATGTGCTGAAATTTGAAGTGTTTGGCCTAGTTTTGAAGCACGTTGCGTTATGTTGTGTAGTATGGGGAGGGGGGCATAAAGAAAACTGTGTGGAGCACTTGCGACTGAGAAAAGGAAAATTATCTCCTGTAACGTCAGTGAATACTCTGGCAAGCCTCTCAAAATCAAAATTATCAATTAAACGAAGGATTTAGTTTCGATAAAAAGGTGAATGAATGATATTTTTCTGTCATTGATTTGACTATGCGCAGGAAAATCTCAAGTTATCATGAATTGATTCTTCTTCTTCTTGATTCTTCTTAAATTTTTAAATGTCTTAGTATCGATCCTGAATTACTCTGGTCTGTAAAATTATGATTTAGGATTTTTTGGCTTGATCAAATTCCGAGCAGCAAGTGGTATAGTCAACACTAGTCATTGATGGAGATTCCCATCCTTTTGTCTTTTTCAGTGAAAGTGAAGTGGCAGAAGCAGAAGTTTGATGACATCGACCTGGACACTGATGAGCCTCCAGAGGTGTTCAAGGCTCAGCTGTTTGCCCTGTCTGGGGTCCAGCCAGACAGGCAGAAAGTCATGCTGAAGGGGTCCACCCTGAAGGTAGAATTATGGTTTTTATGTATGACAATGGCTATTGATAGAGTAAGACTGGTGATTAATAATATGATAATAGCAAAAAAAAGTCCTATAGAAAGACCTGTTAATAGTAGAAAGAAATTCATATTGACAGATTGATTTTAATTGTGGCTGCATAAGGTGTCACTTTAGAAGCATGCATAAGATCAGCCAAAAGACAGTATATGTGTAATGACATACTGCTTCTTTATGAGCTAACCTCTGACTTCATGGAAATGATGTCATTATGTGTAAAATGATTTTTTTTACTCGCATGTTTTCCATCATTGTTAAAGACATGCACTCTCACTGTTTTATCTGCCAGGATGAAGGATGGGAGACCCTTAAAGGACTGAAGAATGTGAGTACAGAAATATGCAAATCATAGTGTTCAGTTGTATAGGAATAATCCAACTAAGAAGTCTTATCTATTCATGAAGAGTCAAATTTAATGATACGGAATCACCATGGTATTCAATTAAATTCAAAATGTCTGACTTTTGAAACAAAATGCATGCACTAATGTGATGCTACATGTTGAGTTGAAACAAAGCACACTTGCAAGTTGATATTCTGTGCTTGTGTTGTAAGTAGCTGAATGGTAAATTTGTCCTATACTATAGGGTGTTACCCTGATGATGATGGGCACTGCAGACGCCCTCCCACAAGAACCAGTGGAAAGGCCCAAGTTTGTAGAAGACATGTCAGAAGCCGAACTCAACAAAGCTGTAAGTTTTAAACTTCTCAGTACTCAAGGATATATAGAGAGGACTTACTGCACATGATGCAAGTCAAGGATGTAGCATTCTTTCTTGTACAAAATGTATATTGAAAAGGTTTTGCTGTACATGGATGCATCATGATACCTGCAACATTTTATAGATTTCTTTTGACTTAACATGTGAAGTACATGATGGCTTAACGTGTGCATGTGTGTGTGCGTGCGTGTTATATACGGTTTACATTAAGTCTTCCACAGTACATATGCTACCTATGTTAGACTTAGATCCTCCTGTGTTATGTTCCCACACAGATGGAGCTGCCAGCAGGTATGACTAACCTGGGGAACACCTGTTACATGAATGCCACTGTACAGTGTCTCAGGAACGTCCCTGAGCTCAAGGAGGTCCTCAAAAGGTTGGTTACATCAGGAAGCAACCATTACATCTCATCTCACTGCTGGGCTTTCAACACATTTTCATTTGTGCATGAACCCCATTTGTTTGTTTGTCTTGATCCAGAAGTCTCTCTTTCCAGGTTCCAGGGAGGATTGAGTAGTTCAGGAGACTTAACTGCAGCACAGTCCATCACTGCAGGTAACAAAATGACCATCTAATCTTCAATGTTCACAAATAATACCACAGTGACTGTTTTATTTGCAGTATAATTTCTCTGTCCTTTATAGACCCTGTTGTTTCATGTCATCTACATTGTATAATTATATTCCATTAGGATCTCCATTTTTCAGTATAAAAGCATAAAGTAGCCTCAATACTAGAGCTGTGTACCGGTACGCAGTACCGATACTGTACCGGAAAAATTGATTAGGTACAGGTCCAAAATACCTAATCCCTCAGTACCGGTACTGTACCTAAACAATTTCACACCAATTTTATGCCTATTTGTGACCTCAAATGTGTAAATAGCTGGTTAACAATGGGTCCCTGTGTAAGGACAGTGTGTTCATGAAAACAAAAACACCTATATTTTATCTGAGCATTCGCCATAAACAAAGAATAAACCTTAACTATCAAGTTTATTTATGTTTTTTTTGTTATTGAAGGAGTTCAGAAGAGCATATAAATTAGGTCGAATTGTTCAGGTACAGGTTCAGGTCCGGACCTGT